TTAGTATAATAGAACCCTAGAATTACCTAACACAACCTTAATAATCAATTTCAAGGATTAAAATATTGTGGTTGCAGCACGAATGCAGAGAATAAAATTCCCTCGACCGAGGTAGGACCACATTCTCACAGAATACCAGCGTAAAATAGTAGCTTGATGCTGCTGTTTTTCGTATTGTAAGTGTAGAGAACCGGAGACCCTTTTTACTGTAAACGAGGCATTCCATCTCAGTCCTCAGGGCTGTCAACGCATCTGCGTTTTGATTCTTAATTGAAGATAAATGTGTTTTGGTCTTTGTATCTTGTTTTGTTGTGCCTATGGGCCACAGAATCCATTTACCATCGTGTGGACTGTGTGCTCGTTTGTCACCCTTATTCTATAAAAAAAGACTGAACTGATTGTGAAACTAGAATGATTTAATACAGGATTTTTAACTCTCAAAGAAATAGCAACAATCCTACCTCGTTTTTAAGCTTGATCTTTACAATAGTGCTCTAATCTAATATATACAAAGCAAAAGTTAGTAAAAACTAGTACTAGTAGTATTATTGGCGTGTTGCAGACTGCTAACTTTTGCTAACTAAAGGTTTGAATTTGTGAACCACTCCTAAAACACGCATTTTAAGCTTACCAGGAGTGGTTTAAGGGAATGTTACTAATGTTAATAGCATTGCTAGTATTAAAAAATATATCACAGCTATATTATATAATACCTGTGAATCTTCCAAAGGGTCGAGTTCCAGTCCGATCTTTAGGGAACCGTCTGGGAAGATAGTGATCAGTTACCGCGGTCAACGGTAAGACAAAACTTGACGCTCAGGGTTACTTTCTGTACAATAAACTCTGTAAATAGGGCTATTCGTAGAAGAAAGATAATTGTAAGAGAATCAATATCCTAAAGCGAATAATTAGTGATGCGACAGAAAGAAATGATGGGAGTCGATCGATGAATATGGTGTAGAATTGTGTTGTGTAGCTATGCTCAAAAGTGAAATAATGTTGATGATGATGACTGGAGTTAATGATTTTTATACTTTTTACATAACAAAGTTTGTAGATGACACTTAAATAAAACAAACATGTAAAAAAAGATTTTATATTAATCAAATATTTTCCCCTAATTTATAATATTACAAGCAGATTTAAAGTTATTTTTGTGACATATTAATACATGCAAATTGTGCTTTCTGTATTTACTTAGTATTTTATAAAAGTTCAAAAAATGTATTGCAAAAATAGGCTCACATACTTTTTCAATTTGATCTTATCCATTATTAAACAAATGGATAAGTAAAAAGATAATGAACTGAAAACTCACTAATCGAAACCATTGCAAATAAAAGTAATTTCAATATAAACTGATGATATAGTGGTGGTGTAAGAATTTCCAAATGTACGTTACGGAGGTATCGTAAGACGGGACAAATTAAAAAAAAATAGGCTGCGGTCTTCCTAAATACAGTTAAAAAAACAGCTCTCCCTATGTTCAGCAATGGACTTTAGATAGACTGCAGTGGTAAAATGGCGCTTTGGTATTAAAACATTGCTAATAGTATTTAATGACAATAGAATTTTCTAGTAGCGATTAATTTCCGTAGTAGTCATGCTGAAGCTATATTAGTAGTATAATTACAGCACGAAGCCCGACCGGGGACGGACCACGCTCTCACAGACTATCAGCTTAACGCTGCTGCGTTTCGTTTGATAAGTATAGATACCCTTTTTACTGGAAACGAGGTATTTCATTTTAGTCCTTATGGGTATATGGGTCACAGCAACCAATTATCATCAGGTCGACAGTGTGCTCGTTTGTCACCCTTACGCCGGCTCCACACGTTGGCCTCAATATAGGTTCCAACGCTACTCGTCCAAAGTGTGGATCTAGAAAGTGGCATTGGTCCCAACGTTGGGGCGAGCGTTGGTAGTTGGCCGACTCGTGTCGGTTTCATCAAAGAAATCTGCGCCAACGCTCGCGATCTGTCCACACGTTGGCACTTTGCTCAGTTCTGTTGCAACACGCAGCAAGTGCGTACGTCGAGCGAGAATGGCTTCCTCATCCACAAAATCGCCACCGGCATGGACGATTGAAAAAGTCATAGAATTTATTGAACTTTATCAAGCACATCCAATAATATGGGACGCAACTCGAAAGGATCATAAGAATAAAAAATTATTAGCTGATGCATGGCGCACCATTCAACAGAATATGGGAATGAATTTCTCAATTGAAGATTTAAAAAAAAGCGAGACTCATTAATGAGCACTATCGCCTTTACAGAAAGAAAATTAGTGACTACTCGATCTGGATCAACAACAGATGATATTTTTAAACCAAATTGGTTCGCTTATGAGCTCATGGATAGGTTTCTTGCTCCGATTTATGATAAATGAGATACAGTTACTATTAACATAAATGTGCACTCAGTACTATAATAGCACTCAGAGCAGTTTCGATTTCTGTATCGGACATCTTCACATTGGCCCGGACTTGACAGAACTAGTTTATTAGCCAACGTGTGTACGCCTCACCGAACTCGCAGTCCAACGTTGGTTCGAGCGTTGGGACCAACGTGTGGAGCCGGCCTTATCCTATTTAGAAAAATTTTTACACCTAGTAAATGTTACACGTTAAAAAGTTTGTTATTTGCTAAGTGATATACAATTTTAGGCGCTTCTACGTAATGCAAAAGAATATAATAAAAAAGAAAGGCATATTGCATAATCATTACGGCCACTATAAACATACACATAAATATTAATTTTAAAATGCAATTCAGTTGCACAGTTGAGATCGAGGCCGTGTACGCCTATAATCCTGCACGTTATGCCTCAGAAGAAAAGGGGTGGAACTGAACTACCAAGGGAGCCGCCAAGGGGTGGCCGGCGCAGGTGGGACTGCGGATGTATGCGTAAGATTCCCGTAACCGTTCGGTGGTGTCCGCACGCTGAACAGCGTGTGACGTAATACTAATAAATTTGGTACACAATCAATATGAACCGCCTAACTATTGATTTCGAATACGAATATCTCGCCATGGTAATAACTAATTCATTTGATGATTTTCTATTGTTCTAAAAATTAGAATTTACAATAGGCAAGTTTTTATTTAAAAAACATAAACTTTGTAGATTTTCTGATATTAGGCTATTCCTTTTTTCAGTCTGGATGTTCCCAGCCGTTGAAAAAAGCCTTTCCGAGGCAACTGTACATGGTTTCAGTGAAAAATATTTTTGGGTGGGTTTTTTTCAGCTCTGGAAAATGGACACCTTGGATGGGAGCCCCGTTGTTGCAGCTAACGGCGTATTCACACGTATTTTTTCGCGCCGACGATGCGCATTTTCCAAGTTTGCCAGTAATTAAATTTGCGTACAAAAATATTAGTTTTTAAATATTCGTGATTAGTATTCGCCGAATACGAATATTTGGTAAATGTCTACTATTCGGCGAATACGAATATTCGTATTTGTATTCGTTGCATCACTACTCCTAACAATGATATAATATTACAGTTGAGTTTTTAAATACATTATTCAATAAATAGGCGTAATTTAGAGTTGCATGTTTACATATTATATTGACCGTACATTTCTCACCAGCTAGAAGTAAATATGCAAAATGCTCTTGAACTATACCTACAATATGTTAAATAACTAAGTATACTTACAATATGTTCTCATATAGAACATATGTTCTAATCAGATTTCCTGTAATATTTAAAAAAAGTAAACACTTTTTCAAATATTTTTAACAAAAATATTATGTGTAAATTAGCTCTAAACAACAATATCTAACGTTATGTTTTCATTAATTTGCAATTTTAATTTTTCGCTAAATATTCGTATGTGTAGACAAAATTGATTAAAACTGTAATTATAATTCTAAATAATGTTGTTAAATATAAATATATAGCTGAACAAAAGTTTTAATATTTTAAACACGAATGAATTAATATTATCCAAAATTCTAGAGCTGCTTCAACATTATACAAAGAAAAAAGTACTTTCCATAATAGTGAATGTCAATTTCGGTTGTAGAAATAGTTTGTTAGTATGTTAATAACTACATTAGCCTAATTTGTTAAATTATTTTTGCTACTTGTCTTAAAATAGTTTTATATTCTCTATTTTCTTTCTTAAATCTTCAGTGGATTTTTTTTTTAAAATAAAATATACATTTCCACAAAAATATTTTCTTTTTAACTGCTTTGGTAATAAGGCAATGTTTTCTGAGTTTGTTTGACTAGGGACGTTGTATATATTATATAATATATAGCATATAAATATAATATAAAAAAATTTAACACATTTACGTATTTTTGTATATGTATACTATATGATACACGTAAAATAAATACGAAGTGATGGAATATATAGACATTTTTATGTATTAAAATTGCTGTCATCTCGTTAGTGAATTTTAAAAACATAATTTTAAAATAAATAGACAATTCTATCTTTATAGTTTCGTATTAATTACTACTAGCGTGGCCTAAATATAAACGTGAAAAGTGCATAACCGTTTAATCATGACGAACAAGCCAATAATTTATTTATTTTTATGACATAAAGCTAATATTTATTTGCTTATTATTTAACTTTTTAACTTAATAGTCTTTTATGATAACTAGTTTGTAATAACTAAACACTAAGATAAAAATGCTGACGTATCCATAAAGAATGTAAAAAAACGTAAACTATAATAGAAAATCAATAAAAAATACATTATTCAAAGGATTTTTCTACTGCCATTGTACTTCTTATAATAAAACTGTTATCTTAAACAACAAATCCTATCTAAAACATACCAAACTAATATTGTAATAATGAAAAGCTTCAATAATAATTACATTACCAATTGAACATGCGCAATATGAATAAATAATATAACACAGCCCCAAAACTATTAAACTAGTTATTATTCTTTGCGTTTGAGAACGCGTCAATTTTTTCAAGGAATCAACGACTATATAATATCTCCATAAAATTCTACTCTATAAACTTCATGATAATTCTCCAATAGGCGCATTTTGAAGCCACAGATCGTGAATAAAGTTGTAAAGATCATCACTAACTGCCACCTGAAAACCAACATACCAATACTTTATACAATATTAAAAATTACCATACACGTATTTTGATGTTACGGTTAAGTGTTACGTTTAACTAAAATAATTATTAACATTTTTCTTACTTTAAAGTAACAACATATTTTATAAACTAGGACCATAATTTTTTTTTGAACTGGTAACCTTTATATTGGTAACAAAGCATTCAATCTTAGTCCTTTTCGGTGTTATATTTAAATTTTTAATCAAGGACAAACTGTGGTGTCTATGAGTCACAATTACTACCGTGTGGACTGCGTGCTTGTTTATTAAATAATTGGCTGTATATACGGCCCGCGGCTGAGCACAGGCTTCCTTTAAGATAAGTAAATGAGAGGATTTTAGGGTAAGGAAATGTCCGCCGCGCTGCTCTAGTATTGTTGGGGAACTTTATAACATGTCTTCCAAATATTTTTTCTTGTTTTTCAGACATGCAGGTTTCTTTCACCATCATTTCACCACAATTTTAAGAGCCGATTTACTATGTGCTCATAGTAAATCGATAGTAATCGAACCGAAGCTACTGGCGTACGTAAAATTTACAGCGAGCACCTTGCCTGCTTTAACACTTACAGGATTCCAGCATAAAATAGCTGCACGATGCTGCTGTTTCTTACTTAAGTGTAGTGAGCTGGACTACAGACTGTCCTTATTTGATAGCTTAATCTCATTAATTATTATAGTATAAAATAAATAGTGGCTTTTTGAAATTCAGTGTATAAAAATATGCGTTAATGACGCTTAGGACAGTAGGTTAGTTCTGACGTAGGATAGCGCGAAAAGATGTAGCCGCTGCCGACGCCGTACGTACTCGTCCAGTGTGTACGCTTAATCCTCTGGGATGACAACACTTCTGCATTTTGATTCTAAATGGATGATTGATGTAGGAGTGCTTACCATCAGATGAACTGTGGACTGGTTCCATCACACTTATTTGTTGGTTGGGGCGTAGCGGGGGGCTTTCCTTTTTTTTGGGGGGGTTTTTTTTTTGTCTGGTTGGATGTTTCATCTTTATATATACACTTCGATTTACATATTATTTAAAAAATTCTATTGTTTATTAAAATTTTAAAATCTTAAATGTGGTCATTTTTGATAGTACATTCTTCCCGTGTTTTAATACTATTTTAATTATTTGGAATTTAAAAAATTAGAGTTGGGCCGATTAGCCGCCGATTAATCGGCTTCACCGATTTGCCTATTTGTATCTATTCACCGATTAGTCGGTAAAACTTAATAAAAAAAATTTAAATTAAAAATTCCCTCCCTTTGCATAACAAAAATAAAACAATTCTTGAAAAAAGATTGTTAATGGCCATTCTTATCGGCCATTTCTTAACCGATTAATCGGATAATCGGCCAATCAGCCAAAGTACTAATCGGCCCAACTCTATAAGAAAATTAATCTTTTATTTTCAAGCAGCAACAAAAATACTCATATTCGGAGACAATCTCGAGTTTAAACTCAAACTCGACAATGTCAAAATTTGAACCTATATAGACCATATTATTTGTTACATAAAAATGTTGACATTTTGCAGTTTGATTATAAGTTCGAGGTTGTTTCTGAATACTGGCCAGCGTTTATAACTAAAATGTCAAACCAGCAGCATACAACATAAAATGAGCGAACCTTGTACGGCGTGGGATTCAAGTTCCGCTTGATGTCTTGCCGGAGCGTGCGTAGAGACGACTGAACCCGTTCTCGCACTTGAGATAACGGCTTAGGCGAAATACAAACGCCTCCATCACTCCAGTATACCTGTAGTAACAGTAACGGAGAGCAATTTTTAGGTGCTTCCTATTTTGCTTTATAATTAATTATAATACAGAACAGAATTTTGGGTGATGTAGTTATAATTCTTATATTCGTTTTTAACACTATAATTTTAAACCAACATACGAAATAGAAATACACAATCTTGTTTGGTCTACAAAATCATAGAACACAAATTTCATTCAATCTACCCTAAAGTAAAATAAATTTTGATAAACAATTTACCTTATAAAGATGTTCCACTTTACTTGGAATGACGTAAGCTCTTTTAGACTCCTGGAAAGGATGTCGACATAACACTTTCTGTCCAATAATCGGAGCAGGTTCAGAAGACCTTTGAAGAAGATCAATTAATGCATGTCCATCAGCTCCAAACAACCTGTATGCCTGAAAGAATCCAAAAGAATTAAGTGTAGAGGTATGAGTTTTCAAATTAGAATGTTATGAACTTATTAAGCTGAGAAACATCGCCATGTCTACCGCATCGACACGTATAATGGTGACTTCTCACTGCGTGTGTTATCACGCGCCGAGCCGCGTTCGCACGCGCTACGCGCAGTGTGAAGAGTTTGGCGCGGCGCGGCGCGGCGCGGGCAGGCGCGGTAACTTCAAAGGCGCGGCGCGGCGCGCCCAAGATCATTTGTATGCGCAAGCACGATAATAACACACGCAGTGAGAAGCCGGCTTAAGATATTTTAAGTGGTATCTACGATACATAGGGAGAACCTTGTCCTTCACTTTCCAAAATAAAATGTGTGAGGCAATTATTCTTACATTACGGTCGAGAAACGATTAAAAATAATAGAAAAATTCAAGAAATTGTATTAGAAGATTGTCGAATAAAATGCGGAAAATAGTTGAAATTGAAAACAATAGTAACGAAACGAAACTAGTTTGTGATATTTAACTTTTTCAACGACAAGCTCTATATAGGACGCGATGTCTCACCAGATGTCTATTATAGTTAAAAATACATAACGAAATATATAGTGAAAAAATAGAAATGTGTATAATGTCCTATCAATTAATATTTTAAATAACTAAATAAATCAATGTTCTATTTTTATAAGGGAAAGCAGCAGTGATGTTAATGATGACTACTCAGACAGTAATTCAGAGAAGACCGAAATTATTTTTGTCTTATGAGTATTTAGGCACTTTTGATATTTATTTTCGATTTTGACTGCCTCGTTGGTCTAGTGGTTGTAGCACTGTGACAGCTGATAGTGAAGTCCTCGGGTTCAAATCCCGAGTCGGGACAAAAAACATCAATTTATTGAGTTTTTCCGTCAAGAAATTTTCAGTAGCTACACGGAGTCAGGAAGTTGGCGGTGCCTCACCCCTGTACATCGAAAAGCACGTAAAGCCATTGGTTGGTAGTGGTTTTTACGCGCATAATGTCAATGACCTTAAATCGTTCAGTGTAACTTCCAGTACTAGTTACTGTCTGCTAATGCATATCAGCTGGGTAAATACTTGTCGGTAAAAAAAAATTTAAAATAGCAGTACTTCTTATTGCCACTCTTTCGTTAATAATGCTGTCGGGTTTCGCATGTTTGCAAATAAAAAAGTGAAACAGAAAATGGTAAGTAGGTGAATTACCTTTCCTTTCGGATTATTATTCTTGTGATTTCAATCTTTCCTTCATACTTTTACGGGTTTAGGACCATCTTAATATCTTGCATTATAATGAATTGATAAACAGTTTCTAATAATAATTTTTATGCCTACCTTAATTATACTGCAATATCTTGGCATATTTAAAAGATCGAAATAAACTTATTTACAAACTACATGATATTTACAAAATTATACTACATACATTATTGTTATTTACAAATAAAAATTACCCTTTTTAGCGGTATCGCAGTAATTATTCAAAACGTCTACAGATTCTTTCTAAACACAAATTAGCAAGTCTTTTAAAATTGTTTGTTTAACTTTCACTAACACTTTGTGCTTTTTCTGTGTACAGTAATCGTTTTAGTTCGGTCCAAAAATAAAAGGTTTTAGGTCTGATGATCTTGCCGGCCAGTTCACAGGTCCACCGCTACCTGGCCACCTATCACCGGATTGGCTGTCCAGATATGCGGGTACAGATCGTACGTAATGAGCTGCACATCCGTCGTGCTGGAAGTACATTCCTTGCAGATGGCTCAGAGAAACGTTTTTCAACACTGTATCGATGACGGAACGTATCATTTGCAGATACTGATAGTACTGAGGTAAATATCAATTGCCACGTTGGTCTAGTGGTTTTAGTAGTGCGACTGTTGAGCATGAGTTCGTGGGTTCGAATCCCAGGTCAGGTCAAAAAAATTAGTTATTGAATTTTTCCGTCAAGAAGTTTTCAGAAGCTGCCCGGAGTCAGGAAGTTGGCGGTGTCTCACCCCAGTGCATCGGAAATCACGTAAAGCCGTTGGTCGCGCGTCTGATCTCTTTCCGGTCGTGTCAGTTTAACGTCTCATCGGATTATGAGAGTGAGGGAATAGAGTGCACCGGTGACTGCGCACACCTGGGCACTATAATCTTGTCATGCGCAGATGGCGCTAGCCTCCGTCGAGACTGGCCGCCGTGACCGAAATTCGGTCTGGAGGACATTATTAAATATCGATTTGTCGCACCGTCTAAGTTTTCACCAGACAAGACACAAAATCTCGTCATTTTTAGATACTCGATATAAGAGTATTGGTACCATTTTACGATATAGGTCAAGTTTTATCGCCGTTCGTGATGTAGGGTGGATATGATTTGAATTTCGGTGGATTTTAATTGATTTATTTATTTAATTCAAAATTTTCGTTTTTATATTTCGATTCTATTTTATATAGGCTTTTACTCCCTTCATCTGTTACACCCAATTTTTTTCCAGACATTTAAAATAGTCATCCAGTATATTAGTTTTTTTTTTATCCAACGAACTTACAGTCCACCTGACGATGGTAAGTAACTACTGCAGCCAGTGGCAAAGCTAGAGATCTAAACTAGGGCAAGACCAAGATATAAATTGATAAAAATATAGATTCTTGTTTTTAGCAGTTTTATAAAAATACACCAATCTTGATCTGTCTCCACTTTTCAGTTTCATATTCCGTGCTGTCAAGGACGTGTTTAACAAATCACACAGAAGGCATACTACTGCTAGATAGATTGTATTACATATCAGCAATTACATAGCTTCGGTGGCTTTGAAGAAAGCCGTTTGGGTTTGTTTGAGCGAAAGAAAATTTAAATACAATACAACACATGAACAAAAGTAAAACATGAACAAAGTACAAATAATGTACAAAATTAAAAATAAAACAAATTATTTACATTCTAAATGGAATCGTCTCTCTTTCTGGAAAGATTTAATTACGTCCACGTAAAATGTTGGTGAACTTTTAATTATAAATAACTGTTTTTTAATTGCGATATTGATAAGTCTAAAATACCTACCTTACTTTTATCCGATTAGCACTTTAACACACTTCAATTTATCAAAGGACATTTTACTATTTTCGCTAAAAAATTTTAAAAAAGCATAAATTTTATATATTTTATAAGTCGCTTAAGCTAAACAAATATTGAAGTGTGAAATGAACTTGCAAACATATTTCGCTTTCGCTTTTGACAACTTCATTCCTAAAGCCTGGCTTTAAATCTCTATACTAATTGCTATATATACAATCGCAGTTATATTTCTTAATACAATATTTTGCCATATGTTAGAAAGAGAGCGATCGTCTTCTCGAAAGCCTCGCAAAAAGCCCACGCGAGCGAGAGAGAAAACTAATCGCTCTATTAAAACTCATTTTTATGACAGCACCAGTATCGCTAAGGCAATACGAGGTCATCGGTCGACATGTGTCGAACAGTGGGTGCGCGGGAAATTTGAAATAGTTTGAAAAACAGTTTACGAGATATTATTGATTGTTTCAGTTTTAATAAGGCAAGCCCGGCTTTTCGGCTTCTATGGAGGCTTCGCCACTGACTGCAGCCCATGGAAACTCGCAGCTAACTTCAAACAAAGAAGGTGGATGGAATGCTTCACAGTCTTTATTTATACCGGTACTCGGTTAAGATGACACCTATCCATTGATCTCCCAAACGGAAATGGGTCCCTACTTAAACTGCAAGAATTGTTAATATAAATTCGCTCAAAGAAACTTTGCTTAAAATGATATTTTTACAATGTGTATATAAATTAAATATTAATAACTAAAACCAAACTGCGATAGGAAACGTGTACTAAAAAGGTATTAAACAAGATTACAATGTCAATATTTTAGAATCCTTCATGCTTCAAAGGGAATTAAATTATTGTAAAAATGTTGTGAGCTCTCCTTAAAAATATTTTGCAATTTTGCTACATACTTTATTCCAATAATAAAATAAATTTCATTATTTAATTTTGTTAATAAGTGTTTATGGATTGATGTGTTGTTGTTTTTTCCTTTATGCACCTCTATGTTACTGTTACAGCCTAAAAAAGTCTACTACTGATATAGGCCTCCCCCATAGATTGCTTCATAGGGGGATATTTGTCATAGTTGCCACGCTTTCATTAAAAAGTACTTGCTGCACATATAGTTGAATATTTTCTATTGGAAGCCTATTCTTCTCTTTTTATTATTTCCAACTATTTTCGTCGAACATCAATATTTTGTGAAAATCTACCATAGCATTCACTTACCATCAGCTATACCACATACAGTCTGTAGACTTGTTTGTCACCCTAGTTCTATTAATTAATAAATAATTTTTTTTTCAATTGATTAGAAGAATATTTAGCTACGGAACTTTAGAATAAAAAAATACTAAGTTGAATAAGGCTATATGCAAGGCGCACCTTTGCCTGTTAAGGACATTTCTATAAGATAAGAGATCAATAATGTCAATCTACAAAAATTCGGTTAAAATTAGCAGAATTTCTCATTTTTATTAAATCCGTAATTATTTTAAATTCAATTGATTTACATTCAGATGATTAATCTAATAAAATGTGATGAATTTTTCTTATTCATATAAGTACAAACTGTTTGTACCTACTCTAAAATACACAGCATTTAGACAGCTAAACATATCAATCGTACCTACGAGTTAGATGATAATGTGAGATTCCTTTCAGAGATGACGTAAATTTAGGTACCACGTACCTAGTCATAATTAATTACGTTTATTAAACACTAATTATCACTTAAAAAACCCTAGGTTTTACAAATGCAAGCGGGATTTATTTTGTTTACGAATGTCGCCAGGCCGATATACAAGCCGATAGCGTGTACGTGAATTATCTAGTGGCTAGCCTATCTTTCTCGCTCTAATTAGTACACGTACACTATGCTCTTTCTCTTTTGCATTGCCAATCTATTCTAATGTCAGTTAATACTAAACCTATGGTTTTAACTAGGTGTAAAAGCTTAAAGTTGTTTTATATATATTTTAGGTCATCATAAGTTGTCGAACGATTACTTTGTTATAAAAGCATTTCTCTAAATATTATATATTGTAAACATAAGATAATATCAAGTGTAAGAATCATTAGCGATTATATTTACGACTATTTTATACCAATTAGCATTAAGGCTAGACCTTGTGCCAGTTTTTTTTATATTGAGAGCGCGTAATTTTATGGAACAGTACGAAATATGTGCTTGTTTATCGCTCGATACTTCAAGGCCGATCGATTAAAATTATACATATTTAAATATCATTCGTAAAGTACTGAAACGTTTCTTATTAACAGCGCGGTAACTTGTAGATTTTACTGTAAGAAACAAAAGCTACAAATTTATTAGGCTAGACAAGAGACTTTGCTAAAACATAACGATGAAATATTTAACAATCACCGTTACAAAAAGCTAGTATCGCTTAATTGAAGTAAAGTAAAGAGGAGGCCGGAGTCGGAGAATAAAATCCGTGCGTTACGTGATTTCCCTTCTGTTTTTAATACTACATAGTTAATTGGAATGAGTTTCACAAATATTACATCTAACGGAGTTATGGATGTAAAACCGAAATCGGCCCAGAGAACATCATTACTAAATGATGTATAATATGATTGTTATTTACATATACATATAATGAAACAATAACGTCTTTCAAACCGAATTTCGGTCACAGCGGCCAGTCTTAACAGAGAGCAGTCTGCGCAGGTCAGGATTATACTGCTCGAGCTCATTCTCATTGCCCGATGAAACGGCAAGCCGACAACGACCGGAGAGATCAGATGCAGCACGTAGAGCACGTGCTTTCCGAGGCATGGGGGTCATGGAGGAGGGGAGGGCATCGCCAATTTCCTGACTCTAGGCTGCTACTGAGAATTTCGTGACCGAAAAACTCCATAACTTATTGAATAACTGATGTAGCAGTAGTAATATGTTCAAAGTTCATAATAGATACTAAATAAATATTTATAAATTTTTGTTAGAGGTTTGCCTGTATTCATAATGGTTCTAATTTAACATCATTCACTCAAAATATATTCATAACCAAAACATGATTTTTGATTGAATCAAATTCATATTATTTTAATATCACAATATTATTTTCATGAGGATATCATGATATAACATAATCGTGATACATGATGTATGTATTTTTATCGTAAGCACGTGTTTTAGCGGTCATCAACCTGTAAGTAGATTCTATCTAGAGTAACCTACTCTAGATACATTGTGTTATGATTGTCCTATTAATGTTAGCAATATATCCCACTCTATTTTTTCGATAAGTTAATGTTCAATAAAATGATTGCCTCTGCTTTAAGAGAATATTCTTATACAAAATAGTATATTCCAGTCCAATCTACATATACTTCTTACGGCTGGGCACACTTCTACCGTTTTTAAGAGGCTTATGGTGAGCTAACATATACGACGAGCGGTTATCCCCCCCCCCCCCACACACACGTATTTCGCCCTGAGTTTTCACGGGTATTTTCCGAAATAGAATCCAGTGTACGGGCCAATGCAAATGACGTCATAAATCGACACCATACTGGTGATTCGTTTCAAAACATTGGCCAGTATGACATCATACATTTGCGCGCCATATTGGAAAAGAATTGGCGATTATTTTATGTCATTTTGGGCTCCAAAAGTTATTATATCCTGTTTCAATTAATTTGTGAAGAATGGAGATACCAACAATAATTCTATAATTTTTTCGTATATGAATAATTAAAAACAAATTCTGGCATGCTTCATTCAGCGTACACAATTAAAAATTGTGTTAATATGGCGGGATATCCGACACAATATCACGACGTCATTTGCATTCGCCAGTATACTGGGAACATTTCGGAACGTACCCCACGACTTGTTTTTATTCTATTTAGATGTCTTAGAGCGCCAAGATCGAGACTTCGCGACTACGTGACCACGCGTGTGCTACGGCGGCCATGCTCTAAAAGACCTTTGCGTGTGAAAAAGGGGTTAATACGCTGATTTTTCTATCAGACCCATTATCAAATAAATATTTTTGAATTCCTGTTGTAATTTCTCAACTTTACAATATGATTTATTATAGGAATTATTTAAACTATGTAGGCTTCTTAGAGGTGAGAAAATAAAGAATGTGTTGGTTGACATAAATTAAAATAGGTTTTATTTAATATAAATATGATGCGCGTCGCATTATACTCACACCGAAAAAGCCCCCTGATATAAACAAATACATTAAAACAACTGTACTTATGATGAGAAATTGTTCATCTTTGTCACTACAAAACCGAGTGGTATAGATCTGTGTCCAAAGGTGTTTGCAATAGTTTAAACTGAGATAGGCAAATGTATGAAAAGGAAAAAGAACGATGCCATTAGCTAGCTACTTCTGTTCTTAAATTGTTGGGAAACTATTCTATGGGCATAGAGTTAAAATTAGATAAAAGTCGAAATATGAAACACTTCAACTTCACTTTCTGGTGGGACGGATGCGCTACGTAAATTGAAAATCCACCCACCGTGGGTGTACTGACGCTCCGAAGAGTTATATAATCCTTATTAAATTCATTATTGATTTATTGAAAATGGGCCAAATTAGGAGTACCCTTAACCGACGAGCATGTGCGTAGGTGTATGGATGTGAAGGAGGCGAGAGAGGTGTGTCAGGATCGTGCCAAATGGAAGTCTGTAGTCTCTGCCTACCCCTCTGGGTGACAGGCGTGAGTGTTTATGTATGTATGTAAATTCATCCGTAATACCAATCGTTGGGAAAACACCTCTACGCTTGGGAGAAATTACCAAGAAACCTAGCAACATTTTTTTAATATTAAAGTTACACAGTACAGTTACAATATTCATATTGGCAGCATAAGACAATACAATAACCCCATAATATGTAAAAGGCAGCAAATGAAATTGTAACAAGAGGTAGACTGCAGCACCTTCCTGATAACAGACCAAATTAATAAAAAAAACTGCAGCGGCTAACCCACAGCCTGGTAAGAGAGCAAATATGAAAAATATTCTTCACCAAGAGGAAATCTATGAGGGAAGTTTTCATTCATCGGTATACTTAGTGGAGATGAATATTTATATGAATTATTATAGAAACCGTTTGGTAGCTCACGTTATTCCTATGGGTTATTTCCATTAATGTATTCCTTAATATAAGAATAACTTTATAAAGTTTAAGTTTTTAATAATTTAAACTTGTCGATTGACAAGCATTAAAGTTACACTAGTTGCGGAAAACAGCCCGTCGTAAACTAAACTAAACTAAGTTACGCCAGTCAAACATTTAAGGGTGCGAAGCGCAAACTCGGAAAGTCGCGAATTCGAATCCACAATTCGATTTGAATCTTAAACCATTTGTAACTCAAGTACTAAGTTTTTTTGGACTGGTCAACTAATAATTTTTTATAAAAAAGAGAATTGTAATTATTCTGGAATGTTGGTACGATTTTGAGTATGAATATGTAAGCGTAATAATATGACTGTCTGGTCTAGTGGTTGTAAACACGACTGTTGGTCTCAGGTTCGCTGTTAAAGTTAATGTTTTAGAAAACACAAGGTTATTTCCATAAAACAAATTTTTAAACGTAACTAGTCGCTAGGATTTTTTCCTATAACGTGGTGTCAGTTTACATACATAAATTGTACAAAGACAAACATTCCATTTTTAATGAGTGTTGAATAAGTAATCTATAATATGTGCCAAATCGATTGAGAAAAATGGACAATGACCTTAGATATGAGCCGAGTGTCGAAAGGCGTAACTTACAAAATCTCAATTCAGATGTGATAACAAATTTAAATATTGATATTATTCACACTTCTAGGTCAGCAAATATATTTTTTTTTGTTTCTTAAATAATATTGTCTGTGGTTCCTATAAACATCATAAAATCTTACGGTACATCGCGAAAAATGTGTTATATTTTATATTTCAATTTATGGTAAGTAACGCAGCAATTCATTTAATAACAGTTTCATATTAAAAAAATATTTGAAGCAATATAATCACCATATTGAGCTTTTGCAAATACATCCCTTTAAAATAAACAAAACGCGCGTTACGTCAATTCGTTCTAAAAGAAACGTGACAATGGCAGCTAGAGATGCGTCACCTTTTTTGGGCCGGTCCGAGATACGAGTGATGATTGCACCGAATAAAAATAAAGTTCTTATATGATATTGAAAATAAAGTTTTAACTTTTGAATAAGTAGGTATTTATTCGGTGTCGTCACTCGACTTTATACGTGTTACAAATTAATGCTTTTTGTTGTTAAATTAATAAAGTACTTTATAACAATAGTTGATTTTTCTTCTACAGCGATCTTTTACATCACTTTTTAATAATAGTTAATAAATACATATTATAACAATCATTATAAAATAAAAAATCATTATAAATAAAGAAAGTATTACATATAAAATGTGCCTATATATTGAAGGTTTGTTACCCCTGATTAAACGACCGAAAGATCATTATCCGTTTTTCTCAGTAGGTCATTGTCCATTTTTCTCAATCGATTTGGCACATACTATAAACTTTTGCCGCACTAAAACTTAACAGTGTTGTATAAAATACATAATAAAACGAAAATAAATACCTCCTTATGACCAGGTATCGTGACTTTGCCGACGTCCTGGCTCAGTTTAATGCGAGGCTGCCCGTTTATTTCTACCAACTTGTAAACGCATCCTAGCGCAGGTTGACGTTGACACGTCACTGTAAATAAAGCGATGCATGAGTAACTTGTGTTACTACTAGGCGTATATGTAATCAAATGACTGGGGTAATTCAAATCATTTTATTAGCCGACTACAAACAAAAAGAAGATGTTCTCGATCCGACGCAATACCTTCGTCAATTGTGAACGGATTTGATTCTTTTTTTAATTAAATGGGTTATACTTCAGGGAAAGACCCGTATTTACTTGAAAGAAAGGCCACAATTTCATTGGCAAAAATGGGGGATTAAATTTTTAATTACAACAACTACAACCAACATACAAAATCTACTTCATAATTACATTTGCCGGTAAGGGATCAATATCAGTTTGCTACATTTTTCTTGCGTACATAATATTAGAGATGGACCGAATGTGGATTTCACCGAATACAAATATTCGGCCGAAAGTTCGGTAAAACTTTTAGCGAACTGAATATTCGGCCGAACACTATTTGGCAGGATCACCTCGGTACCTAACCAATTTATATCGAAACTTGATGCCGTAAAACGAGCGGGATTAGCGCCGGACCCTGCTCCTCGCTCCTCCGCCACACCTGACATGTTATTGAATCATCAAGTACTGAGAATTTTGCCGGCACATGCTTATGTTTCGACAAATTTTATGAGAAAAAGTATTTCGTTGTGTTATTCTTTATGAAAATTGATCTACTATTTGGACTTTTTTTAGAGAAATTGACGACCAAAGTAAAGTGAAATGTACTATAGTCAACCAAATCTAAGAAATATATTTTGACAGCTGTCAGATTTATTGCACCAAGCATGTCCATCAAAAAATGGGAACGTACAATATTCGATTCTTTAAAAAATCGATATCGATTATTTAGAGTTGGTAATCATTTAGTTTGGTTTGAATAATACCATAATAAATTTAAAACGGATAATATAAAACACAAGATTTATCAGTTTCTTCGTATTTGTTGTTACTGCTTATTTCTAGATGCACAGTTATAAAAATTTAAGATTGAAACTAGATTAAAAATAAATTTATTCAATCATTTTCAGTAAAACTATAGAACAGTAGATATGTCGTTGTTTATATTAATAATTATTAGATTTTCAATAATGCAGACAAAATTAATGTCTCTTTCAAAGTCATCCATAATATTTTTTTTGTTTTTTTTTTATCATTTTTGCCCAATCATCCTTTGTGACAAGGGCACAGCCTTCAACGAATACTTTTTATAGCATTGGGTGACAAACGAGAACACAGTCCACCTGATGTGAAGTGGATGCTATGGCCCATAGACATACATATTTATTCACAATTCAAAATCAAAATGCAAATGCGTTGTCACCCCAGAGGCTTAAGATGGAACGCCTCGATTCCAGTAAAAAGGGTCTCCGGTTCTCTACACTCACCATACGAAACACAGCAGCATTACGCTACTATTTTACGCTGGTATTCTGTGAGAGCGTGGTCCTGCCCCGTTTGAGCCGACCCATTTGTGCTACAACTATAATATAGATGTAGCGTGGCTCTACCATGTACAAAAAGTTATTATAGAAGAAACAGTCCAAAAAGTTAAAACCGAGTAACAAAATAAGAAGACAAACAAAAAATCACAAAATTACGCACAGTAAGCTCTGTAAACAGAAACTTTTTTTATTTAATATAGATTATAAATAATACTTATTAAAAGTCAAATTTTTCATTTACCACTGGTTCGCAAAAAAACCTTTGTCCTGGGAAGAACCAGCAAGAAACCCAACGGGACTAGTTTAAAAAAATAAGAGCTTACAATCATGCGTGTTACAATTAACAACACAAAACAAATTAGAAATAGCTTGGTAGCGATCACCCTTCCCAGGAGTTATTATCATCCATAAATTCCTTAATATTAAAATACAAATAAATTTTTATACAAACTTAGTTTAATAAAGTTTTTAAACTATGTGTACTTACGTCAAATTTTGTATATTTTCTGGGATTTTGTTGTAAAAGCGTATACATCGCCCCAAGAATGAATTACTGACACTGTGAAGTCGAGTAACTGGTACCAAAATGGCGGGATATTGAAATTATGTATGGTTCGGCCGTTCAGAGAATGCGTTCCTGACACCTATCAGTTAGTCACGACTAGTGATGGGCACAACATAACACTGAGTTCGTTACCGTTCCTCCAAAATGAACCGCCGCGTTATTTTTAAGATTATTTTCGTTTTAAATTGGCGGAATCATTTAAAATTTATATTTTAGCAATTTAAGTGGAAACCAAAAAAAGGTAATATTAATATAATAAAATTGTTTTATTTATTCTTTGTTACAAAGTTACAATCTGTATTTCTATGCAATAAAGTACATTGAATTGAATGTGCGTACAGAATATTAATCAGACTCCGATTCGCTTGAGGAGGTGGTGTCTTCATCATCATCTTCGCCTACATGTATAATTATATTATTGTCAATAACAGAATCAATCCTGATATCTCGGTCAAAATGTTCCACAATCAGGTTTTTAGTCTTCTCAACAACCTTTGCCTAATCACCTCTTGTGACTTCCCCCGCAGGCTTCTTTTAATAGGGTCAACATCTTTTTCGTGCTGAATGGCGGGGAAGTATTGTGACGGGCGGCGTAACCTTTTATTTGAGCCCAGATTAGCTCAATCGCGTTATATTGGCAATGATACTGTGGAATTCTTAGAACGCGATGACGCACATTTGCCGCTTTATTTTCTTTAACTAATTTAATTAGCTCTGGTTTTAGCATCTGCATATTTGCGTCAATGCCTTTTGCTTGTAACCAAGCCAGCATTTCTTCTTTTTTTATTAGCTTGGGTAGGTGGTTTCTGTCGATATATAATATATGTCTTTTCGATTGATAGGAGGCATTATCCATGAATATTACAGAAGGCTCTGGTAGGCTGGACAAAAGCACGTTCTGGAACCACTCTTTAAATGTAGTGGCATTCATTTCCTCGTGGTAGTCATTTGTGGTTTTTGATTGAAATGCCAGTAACGCGTTCTCCACAAAGCCGTATTTTGCAGAACCTGCGTGGCATATTATCAGACGGGCCCCCCTACCCATTGGTACTTTCGACGTCGACGCTTGTGTATCATCCGTCCAAGAACGGGAAACCGTGTGATTGGCGTTTAGCCATGTCTCGTCAATGAACACGACATTATCCCAGTTATCAATATTTTTTGCTTCTCTCAAAAAACTTATCCGTTTTAAAATTATGTCGTATCGTTCTAATAAAATTTTTCTTTTGTCTTTTTTTTATACGAAAAACCAATATCTTTTAAGATTTTGGTTAAAGCAGTTTTACCCCCGCTAAACAGTCCACCTTCTCTTAACGACGCCAAAAGCTTCTTCCTGTTGAGATATTCATTTCTGGAATAGTAAACATATATATGATTTCTGATTGCATCGGCGTCAAAGGTGTCAATATCTGTCACGGGTTTAGTTCTACGTTTCTTCTTCGGAGTACGTAAAATATTATCTTCCGTGCCAGTAGAGCCAAACTTTTCTTTATTAATATTTGTTTTCGTACGTTTGCTAACTCCAAGCGCCTGAGAGACGCGTTCTTGTACTTGTTCGACAGACGCGTACTTGCGTTCGTTCGTTCCCGCTCAAAGTAATCTTGCAGCTTGATGATTAACTTACGGGCTCCACTTTTCAATGTTTGTACACGTTTAGGCATTATTATGCACCAAAAGTAAAAAGAACGCAATACAAAACACAATCGAAGTCCGATTTAGCGTCGATGTCAGTTTGAAAAGCAGAAACAGTCCATTAAACGAAATCCGGGTAATCAAATAAAAACAGATCGAAAACACTTGAAGAAGGTGGTCTATGCGCACGAAACGACAACAGACGACTGTTTTAGCGTCACAAAATGGCGGCCCATAACGCCATTTGCGGTTACCATTTTCAACCTAAATATAAAAATGCTACTTTCTTTCGCGCGTTCGGTTTTATTTTTATATTTAATAAAAGTTATCTTATAGTCCATTATTTTCAAATTCTTAAAAAGAAAAACAAAATGTATTATTTTATAAAGTATAACTGTATAAGAACAGATTACGATACTGTTATTTCCTGTTATTGTTAGCACAGCACTACAAATATAAAGCGCTGACATAACCTTGTAATAGCGCAGTATAGATTTAGAAAAATATTGTTTACCAAGTTATTTGACACTCAGTTTGGCACAAAATTATAACATTCATTGATTATTGATATAATAATGTTGTTTTAATGCTCATCAATTGTTAAAATGGTAAACAACCAGCAAAAATATTTTTATCGTAACTGCAACGCCAATACAAAGTTACGTCGTCAGTTCAATCGCGACGTGTCAGGAACGCATTCTCTGAACGGCCGAACTATAGTGGTTATTTTAGCACAGCCTTGTATATGATGTTTTTGCCTACACAAATTTACTTTGACAAAGTAAAAAAAACTTGTTTTATTCATGATTCATGTAATTTGAGGAATTTTGAAAATAAAAATTAAATTAAACAAATAATACATTAAAAATTAATGATTCGATTATTTGAAAATTTTTACCGATTATTTGAATATTTTGCCGATCATTCGAATATAAACGAATTTTAATCATCCAAGCACTACGGTAATATACATAGCGACATTTCATTGAAACGACGTCAAGTAAAAAAAGTTAATACTGGTTATTTTTTAATATTTTGCTTTGTTTGAAAATTTCAAATTTAAATTAGTGATAAAAAACTATATACGTTGTAATGAAATATAGATAACTTCATAATTCTTCGGATTTACGTAAAAGGTTATTTTAAATTCTGTGAGTACGCTGGTGCAAAGTTATTGCGGAATGATTAATGTGAAACGTCAAAAGGCATTTCTTAGATTTGGTGGACTATAATGTAATGTAATGTTTCTTTGTTTGATTCCAAAAAACATTTTATCAAGCTATCTAACTGCTATAATGGGAAAAAATCTACAGTGCTTCAAAAACATAACGCTATAAAGGTAGATTTAACCCATACTTAAAATATACTTTCAACAGTAAAATTATGAAAAACATTGCATTACTTAATTCGCACATTTCAATACAGTGGACACCTTCAGTACCAATTTAACGGCGGAATACGAATATTCGGTAAAAATACTCAACATGAAACGAATATTCGGCCCATCTCCACATAATATTATGTATTATTTTATTATGTTTTGTAAAATCAAACTAACTCTATTAGCTAGATAAGAACCAACTGCAACGCGTGAACAACTTTCGAAAGTTGAAAATAATTACGCCGAAGTAAAACAAGGGCAAGTCGTTATAATATAAAAAAAAACATAATTATGAAACTTACCCAAATGCGTTCCAATTCCGAAGCAATCGATTTTATGCCCTTGCTCGTTCAAACTAAGTATTGTCTCCTCGTTTATATCATTGGAAGCGACAATGGTCAACTTGGAGAACCACGGGAGCTTGAACTCTTCGGCGATTTGTTCGAAGGTACTCCTTGCTAACACCGACAGGTAAGCCAAGTCGCCGCTGTCGATACGAATGCCCACAGCTCTGTACCCACAATCGTTTAATGCCAGAGCAACTGCACAGAAGTTCAGTAAACCACTCCTGCCAAAAAAGACAAAATATTTGCTACAACATGAAGGGTGTAAGATCATGGTATTAAATTTTACAAGCCTAAAGGTTAAAACACTTTTTAAAAGAAACCGATTGCGTAAAGCACCGGAGGAAAATTTTATACCCTATGTCACTCCCATAATTAAGAGGGATCTAAAATACCTCATATGTTAAAATTAAAATCCCCTAAGCCATTTAAGCTACTGAGCGTACCAAAGAAATAAGACACATACATACATACTCTCGAAAAGCATTACCCTATTGTTAATTACTTCTGGGGCAGTCGGATACAATAAGGATTCCGCATAATTAGAATGTTATTTTTCAACTGCTTTAATCATCACCATTATCATCATCATCATATAAGGAAAGCTACAAAGCATGGTCCTGAGCCACCTGCATCAATGAATTTCCTGGTCTCATACTGGTACCGCCCGCCTACTGTGCAAGTACTGCTTAAAGTGATAATTATTCCAAATTTCATAAGGTACATTTATCAAATTGACGTAACGGAATGGTGCATAGCACTTTTACTTATTACAATCCGGGATTACAATTGCCTTTACGGTAATTGTTACAAAAATGTAGATGTTTGGCCACCTAAGTCCTAACAGTTAATTAGTTTTAAAATGAGTATATATTTCGTTACAATGTATAAAAAACTGATGTTTTTTATGGATAATATTTTCAACTATAACCTATGTTAGCAAATGGCCATCATCGTGGAAGCTTTTTTTTATCAGTTATTTTTATCTTCCCACTAAAAAAGTGAACATTTTCAAAAATCGGGAAGTTATTGTTTTTACCCTGTTTTTCAAAAATTGAGTTTTCCTCAAACCTTGATGTTTTGAAGTCACAAGACACCCCCTGACAATTGAAAAATTTTGAATAAATTGATTTTTTTAAATTACTCCAATATTTCATATCCAACTTTTTTCTACAGCGCTTCGCATTTGAAATTAGCAGGAAGCTTCAGGGATGGCCTGCAGGGTCAACAGATTTTTTTTTGTTTAGTTCTTTATCTTGAGATAATTAACTTAACATTTAATCATTACGTTTAGCTTATCATTTTCTAAAGCAGCAGTTCTTAAACTCGGGTCATGAACTTAACCATGCTGCGACTTATTTTCGAGAGAGTCGTTAGTAAACAACAAACAAACTAGTTGTAATTGAATTAATTTTCGAATGTGTTGGTAGGTCCCGATTAACTAAAATTCGGATAAAGTGAAACTTTATTAATATCATAATTATTGTAACTACCCTCATCACTGGCAGTCATTGATGCTTGAAACTTATATACGACACATTAATGTATATGATATGGTAAAATAATGTCTTTTAATAATTAATATGTAAAATAGTCAGGCCTAGAAGAAAGCAAATTGGGAGAGAACCGGCACTGCGATTCTTAAATCCGCCTGTCTAACAGTTTTGTGGACTTAATACTAAGCAATGATGATAATGATGATCACATAGTGTATACAGACCTAACAATATAGGTCTATTGGAGTTTACAGGCGTTAACAAAGAAAAACTCCCAAGAAAAAATATTAAACATACGCAATACATTGATAGTCTATAAAAAGAAAAAGATAATACAAATCAAAACAATTAGAATTCTTTAAGATAATACAAGCTTCGTGATATAATCAATAATTATATAAATACAACTCATCAAACAATTCACTACAAAGTGTTTAAAAAGTAATAAAGTTACGCCAAGACCCGGCCAAGGATAACAACTTATTAAATACAAACGTAAGTACTACACAACTGCATTATCTAAATGAACACCATACACAATTGTCCTGTTTCAGTGTTTGAATCAATTGATGATGATGATTAACCAATACGTGCAAATATATTGAGCAATGTGAGCGTGTATGTGTGCATATCCCTATACAATGCAACTGTGCCCAATGACAAAATTGTCCACATTTTTCGTTCTCAGGACCAGGACAATACGTCACACTGAAGCAAAATGTAATAAGTCTTCCTATAGGAACCCATTCTCTTTATATACATTAAGTTAAAACATGAAGTGCAGTCCATTCGCACTTCACTTAAAAAGCAAAATAAAATGATGTCAGATCTGTAAACTACGCTCATAGGGAATTTCGTAGACGAAATGTCTAAATGTGTTAGAAGTGTGCCGTTAATATTTAAACCAATGATGCGAATTATTCATGTCCACCATTAATATGAATGTTGAATGACGGTGGCTGTACCGATCGCATGCCAGCCATTGTTTATAAGAACTCCACAAACTTACAAATAAACAATGAGACAAAGAACGCTAAACAATAATAATAGATAATTTTACACCAATGGCAATGTGTGGTCTATTTGCATGTTTACCTCAGTGTGCGTTCGACCGTATATCCATATGTACTACGTATAGCTGTGGAGTTGCTTATTCTATTGACATTGGTTCCACAGTTGCTATTGTAGCCGGAATGCCCATTCATACGTTGCCCGTGTCGTAAGCCTTGAATATTATACCTCTTCACATCATATGTGTCCACAAGAGCCAAAAAACCGGTGGGAAAAGCTATGGCATACGACATCAAAGCGGCAAGTTCGCCATCGCTTGCTTCTTCTGGTGACACGTCTATTATAGACGAAATGCGTCTCCGCCACTCTAACGACAACTCCAATATATTACACTGTTCATGCGTATCCGCGTGTCTTAGCACGACAGAGGTGATGTCATCGAGTGTGCTAAACGACGTCACAAACGAATGTGCGTGCGTCCCTTTAACGGGTATATTGAACATCTTGCCGGCTAGTACGTTACTAGTTCCATCAAACCCACCTGTAAATAATTACAAATATTTTAAACATGTTTCGAAAAAGTTTCCTAGAATGATAGATAAACAATAACATATGGATTAGAATTGAACGAAGAATATAATAGAGTTGAAAAAATATATTTTAATATACTTTTTCCTTACCATGTGAATCATATTATATGAACATTTCGATTGTTAAACTATTTTGTCTATTTCGCAAACAGAGAAACTGTTATTACAATTTTTTATACTAAATACATTCAATCGAAATAAGACAAATACAATGATCAAAATTACGATTTTTTGTTTACCTACTTCTTTTATTACAGTTAAAAAAGTAATACTACATAATAAAGATCTTTTTAGAAACTTCTTGGTAGTGATAACCTCATTTTTATGGATTTTTATCAACCATTTATGCTATTACGAAATGTGTGTACTAATATATAAATCAGCGGTCCTCAACCCTGGGGTCGCGACCCCACATGGGGTCGCGAAAGATATTTATGGGGTCGCCAAAAAAGTCAAAAAGGGTTTATCGAATTTTATTAAGGTTTATGCATAAAATATAACCTCTCTTTACATACACAATTACACAATGTCCTTAAAACGGAGAGAATCGGTTCAATAGTCTACGCAGGGTGCGCTTTGTCGATGCAAATACATACTAAATTGATGTCAAAAGAGCTTGAAAAGTTTAAGTAACTGTGCACTCATACTTAGAAAATAAAGTGAGGCGTCATCGCAGCGCTGCCATGTTGGACGCGTGGGTTCAATAACAAAACCAGCGCGAAATATTTTTTACGCTTCACTTATGTATTTTTAGGGTTCCGTTTGAGAAAAAAGGAACCCTTATAGTTTCGTCAGGTCATGTTTGTCATTCATACAAACACTATGAAAAACAAAGTTACAACTAACATCCAGTCATATCATTACTTGCTACCACGGAACCCTTCATGGGCGAGTACGACTCGCACTTGGCCACTTTTTTTGCTTGTCTATTTGTGCTTCGTTGAAAATAAATTTGAAGTAAATCCTGTTACCACGCGAGCATATGACGAAAAATCTAATATTAATCGTTTGGAATACATTTTTTATTTATTAATACGTATTTATTATTGCAGTTAACAATGGATAAGTGGCTAATAAAACGCACATCTACAGATGCAAGTGGCGGAAGTCCTAATAACGAATCACAAATCAAAAGAATTAAACACGTAGTTCTTGACAGCAATGTCGCCTCAGATTCTACAATGACAACTACTGTTACGAGTAATATAAGTCGTGAGACCAATGCCACCACTTCAAGTACTAGTAGTGTTATTACTATCGATGAAAGCATCTAAAAACATCTAGTTCCACTACTATAAATATTAGTCATAACAGCTATGATTGTAGTTCAACAGCCACATCTACCTTACACATCGATACAGAGAGTGACGCTTCAACTTCAACTAAACAAGCCACAGCTACATCGGAGACAACTGGGAAGCGTCAACGCATCTTTAAAGAATCGTACATCCAGTTTGGTTTTAAATGTACAGTGTTGAATTTTGAACAACGTCCACAGTGCGTTGTTTGTTGGGAGGTTTTGGCAAATGAGAGCATGAAGCCGGCCAAATTGAAAAGGCACCTAGAAACTAAGCATCCACAGTTAAAAAATAAAGATGAATCTTATTTTAAACGACTTGCCACCAAACTAAAGTCACAGCAGGTTGATTTCCAAAAATACACAACAGTTAACCAAAAAGCCTTACAAGCATCTTCCGAGGTTTCCTTTTTGATTTCCAAAACTAAAAAACCTCACAACATTGGCGAGACGCTCATTTTTTGATTTTGCCAGCTGCAATGAAAATGGTTTCGATCATGCAAGGACAAAAGTATGCCAATTTACTGAAAACAATTCCACTATCAAGTGACACTGTTCATCGTCGTATCAATCTACTTGCTGATGATATCAAAATACAACTTATAGATCGCGTGGAAGGGAGTCCCTATTATGCTATTCAGCCGGATGAAAGCATTGATGTAGCTCAACTTCTAATATTTATCCGATACCGATATGAAAACGACATATGCGAAGATTTGTTATTTTGTCAGAGATTAGAAGGAAGAACAACCGGTGAAGCAATTTTTAATGCAGTTAATACCTTTTTTGAACTCCATGACATAAAGTGGGAATATTGTATATCTGTGTGTACAGACGGCGCAGCAAGTCAGGGGGTTTTCATGCTGGTCTACCTTTCCGGTGATCCTGTTACGGAATACGGGTACGCGACCCCGGCTCCCCGAGCTACTGTTATTCTCATACCTTTCCTGCCGAGATAACAGTATCCTTACACCTGCGCTTCTACCCCCAACCTTCTTTTTCCTTTTCCCAAAATGGTAGCTTCCTCTACCAACAATAGCATACCCAAAGAGGGTTGGTGTCAGGCAGGCGGCCGACTGTAAAACTTTTGCCAAATCCCATGCAGTAAACCTATGAATATTACGAGTTGTGGGATATATGACAGGGCTAGGGCGTACCCCGCAGGCGACGCGCAGGGGCAGCACCCGGCTCCTGTGGGAAGTGGGCAAGGGTTGTCGCACCTTACGGAGCGGGTGCGACGTAAGAGGCGAGCCCGGAGAGAGAAGAATGTCAGAGTGAGGTTTGCAAGCTGGAATGTAGGTACGATGACTGGAAGAGGAAGAGAGTTAGCAGATGTTTTGAAACGACGAAGAGTGAATGTTGCCTGTTTGTAGGAAACAAAATGGAAGGGCAATAAAGCAAGAGAGATTGGGGAAGGATACAAGTTTTATTATTGTGGAAGTGATGGGAAGCGAAATGGAGTAGGAGTTGTGTTAGATAGTGGAATGAAAGAACGAGTGACAGATGTGAAAAGAGTAAATGACAGAATGATAGTTGTTAAATTAATGATTGAAAACAAAGTAGTGAATGTTGTAAGTGTGTATGCTCCGCAAACAGGCTGTGAAGAGAGTGTGAAAGAGAAGTTTTGGGAGGAATTTGATTGTATGATGATGGGAATACCTGAGAGTGAGGATGTTTATATGGGAGGAGATTTTAATGGACATGTAGGGAGAGTGAATGACGGGTATGAAAGAGTACACGGTGGATGGGGGTACGGAGTGCGGAACCGTGAGGAGGAAGTTCTTCTGCAAGCAGCATGTGCTTTCGACCTGGCTGTAGTAAACACGTGGTTCCAAAAACGAGATCAGCATCTTGTTACTTATAAAAGTGGCCACCACGCGACACAGATCGACTATCTTCTGATAAGACGGAACCAAATCAAGAGTGTAAAAAACTGCAAAGTGCTTCCAGGTGAAGACTTAGTATCCCAGCACCGAATTCTGCTGGCTGACATCTGCTTAACTGTTCGCCTCAACAAACATAAGGATCGTCCCCCACCCAAAATAAAGTGGCATTTGTTGCATAAGGAGGAGTATGCAAGTGAATTTAGAGAGCTAGTTGTAAACAAGATGATAGAGATGGGTGATATGGAAGGAATGAGTGTGAATGAGTGCTGGAAGGAAATGGCTGATTGTATCCGAAGTGTGGCAAGGAAGGTATTAGGAGAAACAAAAGGGAAGCGTATGATAGATAAGGATGGGTGGTGGTGGAGTGAAAGTATTAGAGAAGTTTTGAGAGAAAAGAAAAATGCCTTTAAAGAATGGCAGAGCGTAGAAGACCAGAATGATTCCATAAAAGAAAGTAAGAGAGGGGCGTATAAAGAATGTAAGAAGAGAGCAAAGAAGGAAGTTGCTATTTGTAGGGCAGAGGCGCAAGATAAATTATATAGGTCCCTTGAAAGCCCCGAAGGTCAAAAACGACTTTTTCAAATTGCAAAAGAGAGAAAGGAATGGAAGAGATGTTTCACATGTAAAATGTATAAAAGATGATTCTGGAAGGATTTTGACTGACGATGAAAGTATAAAGAAGCGATGGAAGGAGTATTTTGAGAAATTGATGAATGAGGAGAATGAATGGAATGGTATGCTTGAAAACCCACCAGTGAATATGGGCTTAGTGAGAGAAATTAGTGTGGAAGAAGTAAAAATGGCTGTTAGGAATATGAAGAATGGGAAGGCGGTCGGCCCAGATGGAATACCAGTAGAAGTGTGGAAGTTGCTGAGTGCGGATGGATGGAAGTGGTTGAGTTTATTTTTCGGTAAATTGTTGCAGGAAGAACAAATACCTGAGGAATGGTGCAGTAGTATACTTGTCCCCATTTTTAAAAACAAAGGATACCTTCAAAACTGCAGCAGTTACCGGGGAATAAAACTCATGTCACATACGATGAAAGTCTGGGAAAGAATAATAGAGAAAAGAATGAGAGAAGAGTGTGAGATAACACAAAACCAGTTCGGATTCATGCCCGGTCGAGGTACGACAGATGCCATTTTTGCATTACGCCAATTGTGCGAAAAGTACAAGCGCGTGCATAAAAATCTGCACATGGTTTTTGTCGACCTTGAAAAGGCGTACGATCGGGTTCCCCGTGAGGTTTTGTGGTGGGCGTTAAAGATGAAAGGTATGCCTGGGAAGTATGTGAGGTTAGTCCGTGCTATGTACAGAGCATCCCGTACATGTGTACGATCTGCCGCGGGAACTACGGGCAGTATCGATGTGGCGGTAGGGCTGCACCAAGGGTCGGCATTGAGCCCTTACCTCTTCTTACTGATTATGGACGCTTTGACGTCGGACCTGCAGGATGAGGCACCCTGGTGCATGCTCTTTGCCGATGACATCGTGCTTGTCGGGGAAGAAGGCATCGAGGTACAGAGCAGACTGACGGGGTGGCAACAGAGGCTGGAAAGTGATGGCTTGAAGATCAGCAGATCCAAAACCGAATATCTGTGCTGTGATTTCGGCGGTCTTTCCAGTCCTGTACCCATGTCGTTGGATGGCGCTATACTGCCTACCTGTTCAGAATTCAAGTACCTCGGTTCCCTCATTCAAGGCGACGGCGGAATAGATAGAGCTGTGCAGCATAGGATTAACGCAGGGTGGATGAAATGGCGACAGGTCACAGCCACAACGTGCGATCCCCGAATGCCAATAAGGCTGACGGGGAAAATTTACAAATCGATCATCCGACCTGTCGTCATGTATGGAAGTGAATGCTGGGCCGTCAAGAAGAAGGATGAAAATAGACTGCATGCGAATGAAATGAGAATGTTACGATGGATGTGTGGTGTGACAAGGATGGATAAGATAAGGAATGAGTATATAAGAGGAAGCCTGAAAGTAGCGCCAGTGGTAGAAAAGGTGAGAGGAAGCAGATTGGTTTGGGCATGTGATGCGGAGGGATGAAAGTCATGTCACAAAACGAGTGTTGAATATGAATGTGGAGGGACACACGGGCAGAGGAAGGCCGAATAAAAGATGGATCGATTGTGTGAAGAGTGATATGAGAATGAAAGGAGTAAGTATGGAAATGACGGCTGATAGAGAGGAATGGAACAAGAAGATTTACTGCGCCGACCCCAGATAATGGGAAATGGTTTAGAGAATGATGATGTGTACAGACGGCGCAGCTTGCATTGACCAGCTCCAAAACAGGATTCAAAGCAAAAGTAACTGAGATTGCACTTCACGTAGGCTTTGTTCACTGTATGATTCACCGTAAAGCCCTTGCAGCAAAACATTTGCAACCAGATGTAAATAAAGTGTTGGAACAAGTCGTAACAATAATAAATTTTATTAAAGCTCGCGCATTAAACAGTCGCCTTTTCAAAATAATGTGTCGTGAAATGGGATCAGAATACGAAAATCTACTGTTACATACGGAGGTCAGGTGGTTATCGCGAGGAAAAACACTCCGACGTGTATTTGATCTCAAAGTTGAAATCAGTATATTTCTGCTTGAACGGGAACCAAAGCTAGCGGAATACTTTTTGAATGAAAATTGCTTGGCAACAGTTGGCTATCTTTCGGATATTTTTGAAAAACTTAACGATTTAAATCAATCGTTGCAAGGGAAGAGTACAAATGTATTGATTTTAGCTAACAAAATAAAAGCTTTTTGAAGGAAAATAAGTTTGTGGATAGACGAAATCAGAGCTGAAAACTACGAGATGTTTGCATGTTTGGAAAAATTTTCTGAAGAAAACAATATAAAGCTCGAAGAAGAAATTAAAACCAAAATCATGATGCATCTTACAAATCTTAAGCAAGACTTGGACATAAGATTCCCAGATACGTCACACGGCGACCAATGGATAATTAATCCATTCACTTGTGATCTTAACACTGAAAAGGAGCAGCTGGTCGATTTAATGTCCGATGAAAGCCTTCGATCTATTTTCAAAACTACGGATCTATCCAAGTTCTGGATAATGACGGAAAAGGAATATCCACTGTTATTCAAAACATCTCTGCTGAAATTGCTGCCATTCGCATCTACATACCTTTGCGAGACAGCTTTCTCCACATTAACTGCTAGAAAAACAAAATATCGCTCCAGAGTTAACGTAGAACCTGATTTGAGGGTGACTGTTTCTGATAATATATCACCAAGAATTAATATACTGACTGCAAGTGTGCAAGCACAAGGTTCACATTAGATTGTAAGGTTACGTATATACCTTCTTTTTTTAAATAAAATATTAAAATAATTGCTTGTCTCATTTAATGCCATCATAAATATTACTCGTATGTTAAATGCATATTTTCTAGTTTGCTCTAATATTACTTTCCAAAATAAATAAACTCTTCAATATAAATAATTTACGAAATAAAAACAGCTAACTTCGTTACCTGATCCAACCTTTGCACTTGTTAATTTAGTGATTTTTTTCTGGGGTCGCTCATAACTCTTTTTTGAATTTCGGGGTCGCAATATCAAAAAGGTTGCGGAAAGCTGATATAAATGATAGGAAAACCTTATCCGTAAATATGTCCTCATTTCTTAAATAATTTCTAGGTTAATATTGCTTTAAATGTATGTATACACAAAGTCGTAAACACAGTTCATTTTACATAAAGTAGTTTAGTCTCATTCTTAGAGCGTGTTTCAATAAACAAGTGCCGACAGTAAATGTCAAATTACCAAAGACTGTGGTGCCACTGCTAAGGGATTTCTTTAATTAGTAAGACTCTTTTCAAACCGTATTATATTATACGTAGTTTTTTATATTTTTTTTTTTTTATATATATATATATATATATATATATATATATTATAGTTGTAGCACGAATGGGTCGGCTCGACCAGGGAGGGACCACGCTCTCACAGAATAACAGCGTGAAATAGCAACTTAATGCTGCTGTGTATCGTAAGGTGAATGTAGAGAACCAGAGACCCCTTTTACTGGAAACAAGGCATTCCATCTTAGTCCTCACGGGTGACAACGCATCTGAAATTTGATTCGTAACCGAGGATAGATGTAGATGTCTATGGGCCGCAGCAACCACTTACCATCAGGTGGACTGTGTGCTCGTTTGTCACCCTATCCTATAATAAAAAAGTCCGAGATTATCTATAAACCACGTTTTGTAATAAGACGAAGTTAGTTCTTAAAAAAATAGCAATAATTAGCTCACCTAAAGCGAACGATCGTGAAATAGAAATTTATTTATATTTCCATATAGTAACCATATCTTTCAGTACTTATACGAAAGATATATCGACCACCGCATCATCATCTCCTACCGACGTAAGTTCGGTAGAATTGGGTGGTATCCAGACAAGGTGCCAAATAAACAACTAAATTTCCAAATGAACTACTGAATTCTTAATGTAAGGGAACTTTATTCATTTAGTAACAGAAACAGAAACTTTTTATTCAATGTAGATTATAAACAATACTTATTGAAAGTCACTTTTTTTCATTTACCACTTCGCAAAAAAACTTCTGTCCTGGGAAGTAAAGTAAAGTTACAGCCTATATACGTCCCACTGCTGGGCACAGGCCTCCCCTCATTTCTGAGAGGGTTTTAAGGCAAGGAAGTGTCCGCCTGCCGCGCCGCCCCAATGCGTGTTGGCGAACTTCAAATGTCTTCGAAATATTATTTTTTCCACATTTCTTATTCCTCAGACATGCAGGTTTCCTCACGATGTTTTCTTTCACCGCCGAGCACGTGGTAAATCAGCATTTAAAATTGCAATTAACAATTTCATTGGTGCCGGTGGGGATCGAACCCGGGTATTACTCGCGTTCTGTTATATTTACACCAAGCGTTAACCATCTAAGCAACCACGGCTCTGGGAAGAACCAGCAAGAAACCCAGCGGGACTATTTTTTTTTTTCAAATAATAGCTTACAATCATATTTACAATTATCAACACAAGACAAATTAGAAATAGCTTGGTATAAAGTCAAATATTTAGGTATACAAGTATACAAAATCCAATGCGGTTTATCTTGAATTTAATTAACCTTGTATACACAAGGTCTAGAACATGGGTAATCTATCAAAACTTTTGAATTAATACTTCGGTGCTAGCAATGAAAAACTTTTCAATGTCAAGGACCGAAGTTAGCATGATTAAAAAGATCGGTAGTTCTTGTGTGTCAATGACGCGGCGGCCGCGTTATATTATACAAGAAGGCAGGGCCGGTGCCAGGCACGACGGGCTCGGTTACACCGGCAACACTATCTGCAGGAACACGCTAACGTAATCAATAAGTTTTGGCAAGATAATTTTTGCTTGATCGTAGTCATAAAATTGCCGAAATAAACTAACCGACGTAGGCATATTTCGACGCAGATAGTCCACCATCTGGGCCCTGCGCTCTACGCAATCCGAACTCGAGCAAAGACACATTCTTGCCGGCGACCATTCTGTAACGCGCTGCGTTTGTAGCCATTAAACTGAAACATAAATCACCCAATTACTATTCATTCTATTCTATTCTACCAATAAATACAAAATAATAAACATTTGTTACATTGATATCATAACAAAGCGGTAGAAGAAATGGCAAAAGTTAAAGCAAGTTGAAAACAACGTGAAAAAAACCCAGTAAAGAATAAAACGAAACCGGAACTTAGTATTCGTAATACACCTTACATGAATAATTAATATTATATATGCAACAGTAATATTGAAAGCTATTATTATTTATCTCATCAATACCAATAATATGGTAGGTAAGGTATAAAATAACTTTTAATGATATTAAATGGCATAACTTTGTTATAGTACGCATTAATTAAATTTATTTCCATTTTATATTTATATAATATATATGTCTAATTTAGATACCGTTAAACTAATTTTAAGTTTTTACCGTGCAAAAGTTTAATCTTGCAATATATCGAGCCAAAACTAAGATGTGTAGTATTTAACACACATATTGATTTTTATTATCTTCATGTAGGGAATTCTGAAAAGTAATATTGTAATTAAGTTGTTTAGTCATGCCTTGTACTGATTAGAACTAATAGATACCGAACGATAAGCACTGTTGGAAGATAAAGTGTACAGCGGCGTTTAATCTATTATGGAACGGCTGAATAAGAGTCAAGGCCGGAGTCACAAGCGTTCGGCGGGGCGGGCGTGAGGTAAACATTAACAACCTAGCAGCATCGACATCGATAGACTGTAATTTAATGGACGACACACACGGTCAGTTCAACTGATCAGTTCAAACTAGGACTATTGATGTTTTTTAAATATCGAATTTTCGTTATATCGATAATTATAAATATATCAATATCGAAGTTTTTATATATATATATATATATATATATATATATATATATATATATATATATATATATATATATATATATATATAGTTAATTTATTGATACATCGAAAATCCAATATATTTATAAAAATATCAACAGTTTTAGTTTGAACTGATTAGTTGAACTGACTGTGTGTGTTGTCCATAATTATGCATTTATCTTTTTAAATTAATTTATTTGGACTCGTCAACAGCATTAGAAAGGTACAAGGCATTGTTACATGGCTTAAAATATAAAAAGAAAAACATCCTGATATGTACGCCAGACATAGGCATGTACAACATTGGCGACATGTTTTGCGATTTGATACATTACTAAAAAAATACAACAAAAAAGTGAAGATGAATATTCTATTATACTCTCGGCTAAATTATGTAATAAGATTATTTGTCATGTAAGCCGAACGCTTCGCTACACGAGCCAAAAGAGTGGCCACTTAATTTCACATTTTATATGGAAATGCAAGACAGTACATAACGTCAATGAACTTAACAGAGTCATGCACGTATAAGTTGCAGGTACCACAACATGTAAATATAAGTAATGCTTGTCCGAAGTAGCTCACCTTGCGAAATTAACTAGGGTCAGTAAAGTTGTCTCTAATAGTTGTGCTATTATAAGCGGACCTTCAATTCGCAACAGGGGTACTCTGAAATTATAATTAAATGTAAGTGTCAACTTTCACTCCCCTACAGAAAATATAACTAATTAGCAGCATCAAGTTTTTATTTTCACACTGATTTCTTCTTCAACAGTTCGAAGAATTATCTTATTTCTATCATTAGTCATCATCATTACATTCAAAGTTCAACAGTGTTCCTTGATAAATTGCCTCATAGGGTGGTACTGTTAGTAGCTTGATATATGTTATATATAGCTGTTTTTATGATTTTGAGTTGTTATTATGAAGAGCAGCTGCCCATCTTCTGTCTCAGTTTCCTCCGTCGCCTCTTAAGTTGTTACGGGATGACATGTTATAGTGGGTTCTTATACCCCGCCATTACACGGCGACCCATCATTAATAGTGTAGTACATTACATACAAACTCCTATGAAATTGCAATTGCTTTGAGTGTCTCATTAACTTTTATCTGCTATATCATGCGGGCGATTTTACACACATAAATGACTGATGTGCCATCAGCAAACATCCTGACCCAGTAAAATTGTTTTTAGGTCATACAAATACATGTTTCGTGCTGGATTAGAACACATGGACGCCATACGCTTAGAAAAAAAAGAATAAAAAAACTATGTGCAACTTTAAAAACAAAATCATAAACAGCTAAAGTAATAAATTTACTTGTCATTATGAGTATAATTTGTCAACCAGAGATTGTCAATAATTTACATTACAAGGTCGCATGAATAACGTGACTGACGTTTATCACGTTTATAGTTTGTCTGTCGTTCCGGGTGGAATCTTGCAACTCAAATTTCGAGCACAATGAACTAGAGAGCTAGACTTGAAATTTTGATCATAGCTCAGAATCGGATAAGAATGTAGGAATATGAAAAAAAAGTGGTATTTTAAATGTTTTAAAACGGAATTTTAAAAAATCATTTGTTTTCACAGGCAACCTGATGGTTAAGATGCTGTGGCCCATAGACATCTACATCTATCCTGCAGCTGCATATATTAGAATCAAAATGCAGATGCATTATTACCCCTGAGGACTAAGACGGTTTTTAGTAATAAAGGTCTCAGGTTCCATACACTTACCATTAAGCTGCTATTCTGTGAGTACATGGTTCCACCCCGGTCGAGCCGACCCATTCATGCTTCAACTATAATATAACTATTTGGTTAAAGTCTCTAACATACGAAGATACGGAAAATCTCGTCACAAAATAGGCACCACACATATACAATAAACATACATAAATTATTATTGTGTATGTCAAAATCATTACCTCATAATCACTCAACACACACACACACACACACACACGCACGCGCACGCGCACGCACGCACGCGCGCACGCGCACGCACGCACGCACGCACGCACGCACGCACGCACGCACGCACACACGCACACACACACACACACACACACACACACACACACACACACACACACACACACACACACACACACACGCGTGTATTTTTACTTGTGTATTTCATATTTGTAAAATATATATATTTTGTAAACTTGATAGTAAACTGTTATCTTTATCAGTTAAAATTATTGAATACTGCTCTGTACTTAAATCCTTGTACTATGTTTTGGGAGAAGACCCTGACATTTAAGATACAGGCTTTGCCTAGTTTAGATGTCAGTAGCTTCATATTAATTGTAGAAGTACTTAACTGTAAGCTTAATTTTGTTATACTGTTGTTATCGAGTGTACTTTAACTTAAAGATGCAATAAAGATTATTATTATTATTATTATTAAAAAACTGCAGGGTGGCACTCCCACATACATTATATATACATATATATTTGAGTGTTTTCCTTATTTGAGCTCATAATGCTACTTGTATATAATAGACATGGGATGAGTACTCGGTTTGGATTCGGTACTCGGCGGATTCGGCCTTTTTTTAGGGTTCGGCCAAGCACCAAGTATTAAAGTATTAGTATTAAAAAGTACCAAGTACTCAGCCTTAATTATATTCCAGATAAAAATAAAGACAACAAGCCAGTTTTTATTACTATTATTATATTAGACACATTAAAACATCAGGAACATGAGAAACAGCAGACCTATTGAGAACATACATAAGAATCTTTAATAGAAATTATTATTGCTAATATTTAAAATTTAAGAGAGGAAGATTGTGATGCAAAAACACTTGCTTTTCAGCCTATTTGGGTCTAGCTTGCTACTTTTTGCTTCCTCATTTGTACATTGTACGAAAAGATAAGTATTGAGTAAGTACTTGTATTTATTCGCATAATTTCATTCCTAACTCTGTGTAAGGGAAATAACCGCGCGCCGCCCGCTGTCGCGTTTTATTAAAGCTGAATATTCGGCCGAGTACTGGGCCAAATTTAGGTTTAGTACTCGGTGGCCGAATACTACTCGTTCCATGTCTATTATATAATCAAAATCATTGTTTTACAATTGTGCTTGTTAGATAAGGGTCTTTATTATGGCATGAAACGATGTCTTAGGATAGTGACCAGATTAACTGCAAATATGTACAACATTGGTAAGTGGAAAATCATGGGTTATGCTGCCCAGAGATGTATAAACTGAAAATGATGCCATAAAAGTTCATTTTTAAACAAGAGGCCCTTCCCTTGTAGGAAGGATTTGCCTGAATCAAACACGCATGGTGGTAGGTATATTGACAATTGCAATGCCAGATGTTTTGCACTTTTGAAGCTGCCATTCGGGTATATAATACCTGATAGGAAAACAAGATAATTATTGTTGCTTCTTACAACTTATGCACACCACTTATGTCAAACGAGAAAGATTATTGAAGGAAATAAAATTTTGTTCATATATTTCTCAAAACCAATGTGTTTCCAAATGCTGAAAGTTTGTATGCTTAAATTAAAAAGTAATTCTTTCTAGCTGTAGTTATTTGAAAGTATAGTAAAAGTATCATGTTTACCATCCCTTCTAATCACAAATCCTAAGTACACAAACTCACGCACTTGTTAATCAACTCCCCTTCTAGTCTTATTTCACATATTCTTTCACTTTCTTTTTCAAAAAACATCAATGTCCTCTTGCATTTACTTTCATTGCTCCTTTTTTATGATTTGTTCATTCCAAAGCCATCACTTGTAATTCACAATGCAAATATGAGTTGACTGTAGGACATACAAAGGCAATTGACAGTTAACTCATCCATTCTTAACCCACATTCTTCAACTTTCAGAGTTTCCAAACAACTGTCCATAAATAGATTGAACAGCTATGAGGCACATTTACAACCTAATTTGACACCTTTATGGATGTGAAACCATCTTAAGTAGGCTCCATTGTTCCTGACACAAACACTAGAGTTTTACAAATGCCTTTGTCAGCCCAGTGCTCAACCTTAACAAGTCAAGTGATTACCATAAAGCAACCCTGTCCACTCTGTCGTAAGCCTTTTCTAAGTCCATAAATGTACAAAAACCTCTGGTCATTTGCTGAAAACCTCTCCGTAAACACATACATAGAAAAGGCCTGATATGTACAGATCAGGTATGGATAACTGTACTAATCCTATTTATGCACATATATAATGTTCATATTAACACCACTAATTTTCAAAAACAGCTCAAGTTTAAATATATTTCAGAATTCTTGCACTATTCAGATTGGGTTGGCTATAGACATCCGATACTTGATTTTAATAAATGTTTTTAGTCCAGGAGGCTTGTTAGGGTTAAGTTTGGACCTATTACACAATTTTTAGATGTCGAAATGCATTTCGAATTAATTACTTTAAAAATAAATTTTAGTGAAATTTATTTTTAATATAATATAAATATAAGTTGGTTATAACAAAACGCAAATATGTAAATTTGGTCTAGTATTATGAAGTACCTGTACTTGATTTTTTAATACCGTTTTCAATTTAGGAGGTTTGTCAGGGTTAAGCTCAAACCATTTACACTGTTTTTGGATTTCAGAAATGCCTTTTGAATTAATTACGATTAAATAAATTTCACAAAAAAAATTCTTATAACAAAACGCAAAAATGTCAATTTTTTTTTCTTAAGACAGATACACTCATACAAAAGTTGTTCACTTGATCCCAGGCAATCCATTTGTAGCTGAAGACGGGAATATATACAACAAATTGAGTCACAGTGGAGAGCAGTCAAGAGGTTCTTCAGAAAACAAAATGATAACGATTCACATAACATTTTTAATTTACCACTATCATAGCAAAGGTTAGGACAACCTGACTTTATATATTGGTCGAATCTGTTCTAAAACCGAAACCACACACTCCGACTGCACATAGACTTGTCTGCCTTTTTTTATAAGATAGGATGACAAACAAGCACAACCTTACTCCTAGTGTTTTTGTAAAACCATAGGCATGGACGGGAGCAGTCCCTGCCTGCTATAGCAAATAGCAGGCACCAATTAGCTTTGCAAGGGCGAAGGGGCTGCACTTCCCGCAGCGCCGAAGCTGTTGCAGAAGTAACTTTGGGTCAATATTCCTGTGTAAAAAATGAGGTCATTCCCCCCTTGCGGAATGTACTATACATTTCTGCAAGGGGGGAATGATGGCTTCCACTGAAGCCTCCCTCTCCCCCCACCCATTCCCATTCTCATATGTGAGTACCGGATGTCTATAGTTTTACCTTCAGATTTTAACAAAAACCTTAAATAGCAATGATATAAGAAATATTTTATAGAAAAACTACAGAATTTTTAAGTAATACAAAAATAAATAACACAATACAAACCTTGGAAATACAACAGATCCTTCTTCTATAGCACTCAGTTTAATATCCTTACATGTTAAATCTTTTAAATAGGCAAAAAACTCAGGTTCAATATTATCAGGTAGTATGTGCATTAAATATTCAATATCTGCAAATGAGTTTTACTAGGTAACAAAATAGCTTAACATTGTTTCATATATGTTTACAAGTTTTAATATTAACAATACATACCACTATCTGAATAATGAAAATTTTGTAGAAATTTAAGGCACTCTTCCAGACCAGCAAATATAGTAAACTCTCCTTGAAATGGATTAGTACGGAAGAATAAGTCAAATACAGCCACATCATTTACTTTTCCAGATTTCCAATATGCATATGCCATTGTTATCTGGTACAAGTCTGTAAAAATATTAATATTTATTCTTTAATAATAGAAAATACAAACCTCTAATGAAGAAATTAGAAAAGTACAGAGAGTTACACGTATTTATTAGAATTACAAAGTTCATCAAAATCTATCTTTGCGTTTTGAAATTCGCTCCAAAAATAAATAAGTTATTCGGCTACATACCAGTAAGTAAGGGCTGGACTATTCCATTCTGACGAGCCATTATTCTATTTGTAGATAATTCGTTGTTAGACATTTTCTTTGCAAGAAAACTGATGAGCACAACAGAAGCAAATAGGAACGTTAGGAATGTCTGTTAACTGTCGAACGACTAAAAGAAATAATTTCATTGTGATCAGCAAATCGTGCTTATCAGCGCGCCAAATTTGACTAGAAAATATATGCATGCGCATTTATGATCCTATTGACTCAACTTAAGGTCATATATAAAGGTCAAACAAATTAAACTATGAATATAATTAAAGTAATAATTTATTCCAATACAGATAGGGTAACCGCTATTGAACTATTAATAATTACATAATATCTGAAAAATCCGATATGTAAATTTGATTTTATTTGAACAACTTGTGTTTTGTAAACTCGCACCACAGAATATAAATGTAATAATTAGGGATCCGCAAAAAGTATTGATATCTGACTAGTATCGTTACTTTTAGTTCGATACCTAGTATTTATGTGTTCGATACTTTTATTAGAGTATTTTACTAACTATCGATACTTTCTTAGTTTCTCGATGCTTTTGTCTCTTTACTAAACCGTCAGATAAAAGTCAGTAGATAGTACTTCCTCTTCCGATGTACAGTGTCATTCCTCTCGCTGAAGTGCGCTGAAGTGAGGATTTTGGGGGAAAAACCTATTATAGTTTGAATAATGCATGTGGGACCAGGTAAATACATTAATTAGCAATATTTCGTAATTTTAATAAATGAATAATATATATAATAAAAACATAATGCAAAATATTTCAATTTAATTGTGTTTTATTACTAAGTTATATTATTTAAGTAAAGTCTACCTATCAGTAATAAGTAATTAGAGTAGAAGAATATTTTGTTAAGAAATTTATCAATATTTGTTATTATTTAATGGCTGATTGATCGGATGCCAATATTGATTGATTGGTGTCAATTTCTTCGTCAAAACGAAAGAATTTATAAAAGTTAACTTTATTGTCTTTAATTGCTGACTTAGGTGTATTCTTTATGAGTACCTTTCAAAGAAGTCGATACACAATGGTTTTATGGAGTGACGTCACTGAGATACTAAGCCCCCCTTCTTTTAGAAATGAAATGAAATAAATGATTTCTATTCAATATTGGTTATTGAAAAATACTTGAACGTCATTTTTTATTTACCACTTACCACTGGTTCGCGAAAAAAAACCTCTGTTCTGGGAAAAACCAGCAAGAAACCCAGCGGGACTTTTTTTAAACATATTTCAATTTACAATGAATTTTAAAAAACCGGCATGGTGGCGATCACCTCATTCCCAGGGGTTATTTTGTTTTATGTATTTTTTTATTTCATAATAACCCTTTTTGTACAATTTTTATTTAATAAAACATTTAAACTTGTTTAATGACAAATTTTGTACATTTTCTGGGATTTTATTGTAAAAGCGTATACATTGCCCCATAAATGTATTACTAACTCTGTGGAGTCTAATAACTTGTTTTACAAGCTTATTTTTTTCCCAAGGGTTTAAAGTATGAACATCTTTATTCTTATTAAAGCTATTTATGTTTTTATGTACATACATTTTCATAAATATATTGCGATGCCAAAGTTAATATGTTTATTTCCTTAATTCCATAAGACATTATGCTGTGAAAGTTACTAATATAAACTAATCTAGCTGCCTTAACATGTTCGACTTCCAATCTTTTTTTACATCATATGCTGCAGAACTTAGTCTGCCTGCTAATTTAGATATATGGGGGCCGCATTGAAGCTTTGCTTCAATAATAATACCAAGAAAAACAGTGGTCAAAAAGTCTCGCAATTTTGTTCTTCTACCGTAAAAAGTTGTGAGATCCATGTAATACTAAATCAATTAATTTATTCAGTTCCTACTTAGCGGTCCTTCTGTTTTAAGTTATTACGTAATTAGCTACCCTAACAACATTTTATAGTGACCATATCAATGTTAAAATGTTTTATGTTTTAAATATTTAGATTGACTTGGCCATCGCATGAAAACACAATGTATCTCACAAGTAATACATATTATGTTAAATTAGATTGCTTAGTGCGATTGCCTAAAGTTTTATTATTACACACAGTCATCTAGATCTTCAAATCTGTCAAACGAAATTCTCTAAATATATAAAATAATAAAAAATCGAAAAAGTATAGAAATAATGTAAGTAGCTACTAAGAAAGTAAGTACTTACGAGTAATCAAAACGAATTGAAGCCAGCGGATTACGGTGAGCCCGGAAAACTCCGTGGAGTGCCATCAGTTAAAAATTTCAACTTAAAATTTCACACTTTGGATTTCAGTTTTTGGATGTACGTCAGCTCAACTGATTATTTTAACTGACCGTGTGTGGGGACCATAAGATATTATGTCTCAGAGTAAATACTACTACTACTACTACTACTATAGAGAGTACTCAAATAAGAACAAATTTCTTATAGTTAAGGGTGTTTCTGATTTTTCGTGCACATTACACGTCCAGGAGAAAAGTATTCATTTTTTTTATTAAATATCTACATTTCTTACAAAGGAAATCAAATGTAAAGTGGTTATGCTTACATGCATGTAATATTTACAGATAAAAATAACGTAATAAATTAATGATAAATAAAAAACTTCAATAATTCTCATTATCTTCGGGGTCCATTTACTACTCTCCTAAAAAAAAAAATTGTATTTTTAAACAAAAATATAAACATAAATATAAAAAATAACCATATTATGAAACTTTATTAAAAAACACAACGTTTACTCTTAAAATAAATAACGAAAACCTCACAATGTAAAGAAATTTTATTTCATAAATGTTTATCAAAAAAAAAAAAATCTGATTACCATCGGTTTCAGTGAAAATCTAAATTATAGTCCGCGTATTGGCGTGAATGTCACTATACCACCATGCCGCGCTCCACACAAGTCTCAGCCAGCCAAAAGACGTCGTAGAAGGTTCACGCCTGTTCTTGGAAAAAAATATTTACGTGAAACTTTATTTCGCGGGAGGTGATTATTCTGAAATCGTCCTCTTTCCTCTCGTCCATATTATTAAGTGAGTATTAATGATTTTTTTAATATGTAGTTAATTATCCATTCTAGTGATTACCGCCGTAATTTAAAGTAAGCACGACATTCGTAATTTTGATATATTTTACGAAACAATTAGATAAGAATAAAAACCTCATTACCTACGTCCTCACTACCTTCGTTTACCGTCGTTTTTTTAGCGATGGTGATGAGGTCATAACGATGACAATTAGAATCAATTTTACGTCAATTTATTATTATTTATTACAGTGCATTATTACATTACAAACCGTGTGGTCGCGAGTTGTAGTCCAACCCGTAGTTAAGATTTTTTTTCCACAATAATACTACTACGATATAGTTATAATAATAGTTTAATTCATAGTAAAATAAAGAATTAATAGTTTTTACTTTGTTTCATGATGTAGCTTTAAGTTTGCTTACAAATAGTAAACTCACAAGCTAACCTTGTGAGTGTACTTTTTATTACTTTAGCTATTAAGGATGAGCTTGATATGATGAATACAAGCAATATCATATAATGTGTTGTTACGGATTATTAAGAACTAATAATGCCAAAGAAAGCCAGACAAACATTAGAGCAGAAACGAGTGTGCGATCGATTACAAAAACAAGGAAAGTATTCAGAAACTAAGGAAGATCCTGAAAAGTATGCAGATCTGAAGGCAAAAGAGCAACATACCTTAAAAGAAAAGAACAGAAAAAAAATAAGTAGCGCAAAAGACATGACACCTAGACAATTGAGAGTTCAGAGGAAGAAGTGAAGAGTTAATTCAAAACGTCATTATGAAAGAAAAAAGAAAGAAAAAGCTATTCAACAGTTGTTAATAGATAATTCTCCACCAAATAGTGACAATGAAATACATCCAGCTGAACAAGATCCTCTCAATCAATCAGCTAAGCCTCATACCTAATTCATATCTAAATCGTTTGGATTACGGTAATAGTAATTCTTGTTAAGGGTGCCTAAAGAAAATATTTTTCAGAGAAAGGTTCGCTACCTACATAAAAAAATGTTGTATAGAATAATGAAAAATAAGAAGAAAAATGAAAATATATCGACTGAAGAAAAAGTAGAACAACTAGTAGAAAATGTTAATACACAAAGGCGTGAAGAAATTAAAAAGCGACTAATGTTTGGTGAAATACTTTCAAGAAGTGTTGGAGAAGGGTACAAGTGCTTGAGTGGAAAAAGGATAAGAAAGAATCCTCTAATGTGGTTATGACGGAAAAGAAATGTATAAAAAATATAAACTCTTGACACAAACAAAAATATTTACAGTAAGAGATAAAAAAGAAAATAAGACAGCTAAAATGAAAACTTGAAAGAGCAACTAATTTTGGAGTTTTTTGACGATTAGGAGATGACTAGAATTGCAGCTGATAAAATATATATATATAATTAAAAACCAAATAAGGAAGCAGAAAAGATACTTAACGGACACATTGACTAATTTGTACAAAAATATACGCATAATTCGAATGATAACGTATCAAAGATTTTGTAAATATCGCCCATTATGGGTTTTGTACCCAAAGGAGTCCAGTAGAAATACGTTTGCTTGCAAAGTTCATATTAATGTCGCTTTGTTGATAAAATGTCTTAATACAAATAAAATACTAAAACAATCTAACAGGACGGGTGTTTTAGAAATCTTAAGTTGTAACGTCTACGATGAAAATCCCTCATCATCCCTATCGTTTAACTTAACTACTCAATATCATTCCCTTCCTTGACGTTCTCATTACCGTTTCATTACGATTTTTGATATGATAGTAATTTTATTGTTATCTATACAAGGAAGGTAGAAACCTAGAAGTTTGAAGGATTTTATGGATATTAAAGATATTGGGGGAAAAAACGAAGTTATTCGGCAATAAATTTGACAATTACAAATGTCGTGGAATTTGCACCAAATACGCGAAACACCCTTAAACTCTTTGTACATACCTATTATGACGTTTAACTAGGTATGATAAAAGATAGCTATATCATATTCACCTACTTTCTTTTACAAGGTTGTTCCAAAGAAATTATAATATACTTCGTATAGGGTTGTTGCCGTTTTTCTATTCCATAGACACCTCTATTGATGTGCCATTAGCGAAACAAAAAACGTTCTCGATAAATTAATTTAGTTTTTGAGTTAGTAAAATTAGGGATTTTTATTAGTCCGGTTTTGTAATACTTATTTATATCAATGAAAGTTTATGGAAGCTTCATCTGACATCTTACAACAGTCGAATAATGAGAAATTTCATACTATTGTCGTATAATTAAAAATATATCGTCAATAGATCGCTACGAAATCTACTTAAATTCAGCCGGTATATTTCCGTCAAATTATTCTTAGACTTACTATGGGTTTCACAGGGATTAGTATTTGTATTTGTTTAATCGACACTGAGTTTGAGACCAGGTACTGCTACGATACAATAACAGCCTGCTTTGTCTTTTTTCGCTAGATCACAACTACCAATAAATCGATTACGAATTTATTACTTGTTTTCCTTTTCGCTCTCTCCAAGATTTTATCCATCATTAATTCATTAATTTCAGCCTATCAAAGGGCACTGCTGAATGTAGGGCAATATTTGCTATAGTTCCCGCTCTTAGCAAGTGTTAAAGTGGCAAACTCAATTTTTATTATATTGAGTTGTTATCAGGAAGATACTGTTGCATATCTACTGTTTCATTTCTTTGTGTCGTCTTTTACGGCACTTACGGAATGATATGGGGTCTTAGAGCTTCTAAGTAATAATATATATTATTTTGTAGGAGGCACTGAAATCTTTTTAGCCACCGCTGCACGGCATTATTAAGATCCTGCCGTAACTTCATGATTTTGGTATATTTTCATCCTAGCAGGTAAAGTTTTGTTGAATATAATCGATGGTTTTCCGTTAAGCAGGCGGTAAATCTATATAAATGAAAATAAATTGTCGCATGTATGAAAGACTATCACATAAAAACGGCTGGATCGATTTTGATGAACACTCACACTCACAATAGAACCCGGTAAGTATCGCTGCTGTCAAAATCTAGAAACAATCGTGCGAAGCCGAGCCGGATCGTTAGTCAGCGTATAAAATTAGGATTTCAAATGGGATCCAACTTGCTTATATACCGTGTCTGTTAAGTCTTGAGACTTAGTATTCATACCTACCTAACTATTAGTTTTTAAAGTTTGCCAAACGAATATTTGCAATGTAGTATAATGATCATAATCACTTGGTTTAAAAACACTTTAATTCATCGTTTGAATACTAATAAGTCTAGTTCTACTTTTTTATATTTTTTGACATATAATAAAGTAATAAAAAAACTATACAATAACGAGTATATTGATTGTTGCTAACATTGCGAACGAAATCACTATAGATTAAAGACATCATGTCCTGTAAAATGATGTCAAATATAATACTACTACAATAGGGATGTAATTTATCTAGTAAAGTAGTAGATACGAGTGTACTTACTCTCATATTTGGCATAGTATAAAGAGACCAAAGACCACTTGACATTTATATTTCCACGTATGTATTACACGCATTATCTTTCAAAAAATTTGTCACTTTTTGCCTTGTTTGAAAATTAAATTAGAAAAAGCGAGACTAGTATATTGACTCAATTTATGTAGAATTGTAGGTTCTCTCTATGCAAACGTATGAATGTAATTACTCTAAGTATTATATCTTGTTACATTTTTATTTATGTATGTATAATATTGTGGTAGCGATGGGCGATTGTTGCAAAAAAAAAAGAAAACAATCGACTAAATCGAAAATTGTACTGTACATTCGATTATCGATTTAGTTGTTACTCACCGAGATTATTCTAATTCACGAGTAATTGTGTCAGTCATTGTCGCCCGCCGCACGGCGTTATTCGCTTACAATCAACTAATATGTACTGTTGTCGAATTTTATCGACTAAACTGAACAATTGACTAATTCGATTAGTTTTAGCGATAATCGCCCATTGCTATATTGTGGTCTAGCTTGCGACATACTTATTTATCTGTGTTGTAGTCTTTGGTCGTGAGCTATTATATACAGTAATTAGGGATAGTCAATGTTTCAGAATCATCGATGTTGATATCGATAGCTTAACATCGATGTTTGATGTGTATCCTATTCAAAACATCGATTTAAGCCATTATCGTTGTTATTTTTTACACATGTACTTTAGAATTAGTTGAATAAAAAATTATTCATGTTGTTTATGGTTTATTATCAATGATATAAAAGAAATTAATATAAATTTAGTGTCAAACGGTCATTAAAAAAATGGGAAGAAGTTAACAAATTTGTAGTTCATTTGTTATATATTCTAATTTTTTAGCGATGATGATGCTGTTGAATGATATTGTACACTCACAAATCCCTTATGAAAAAATTTACCTTGCGACCTTATTTACAATTTAGACGTGATTTTTTATCAACTACTCCTATCGCAAAATAAAAAATATAATCATAGAGAAAAAATTAACAAACTACAAAAAAAAAACGATTATTTGACAGCTTTCAAAATTCTTTTTTCAAAATAATGATTTTCACGGTGACTTTCTAGGTTATATTTACTAAATTATTTTAGACAACGTGAGTAGATGACGTTTTAAATACTCAACTCAGCACACTTCACTCCGTCGACAACTGCTAAATTCATTTCATATCCTCTAGCTACTCTAGCGCTGTTGTTAAGAGTTGAACGGTTTTTTACTGCTTACAGATGGACACTTTTTCAACTATTCTCTCTATGTGAGACGGTTTTCCTTACCTCCACACTCCATGTTCATAACCTTCAAGCAAACAAAACTCGTTATGACAAGCTCAAAAGCGAAACGGCTAAATATAATTGAAGTGTGTAAATACTTACATATTGTCTTTTCTAAAATTATGTGAGTCTAGACAGCGATGGTAAAAACAATTTATTTTAATATCATTTTACATAGAATAGTTATTAGGCGACATCCAACAACGACACCACAGAATAACAAAACGAAAGCCGTGACAATAGTGACATTACAGTTCACGCTTTACAATTAAGTTTTAGGCACAATAATGATATATTTTTAGGTAATCGATGCGTTTAGGAATTTTGAATTATTCAAAAATTTAAATCTTTAATAGGAGATGCAAGATGTAGTTGATATTGATTTTGCGGGTTCGCATTGTTCACAAGTTCCTATTAATCGATTATGGATTCATTGGCATCGATGTTTCGATGTTTGATATTTGGCAATAACGATGTTAAAACATCGATGTTTTAATTTTTAATATCGATGATCATCGAACATCCCTAACAGTAATCTATGGTCATGAGCATGACAAGTGACTGCAAGTAGGTAATTAACCTTAAAAGACTGAATTTTTTATCAAATTTTTACATAGAATGTAATTTTATTAGCATATATAAGGAATATCTTATGGGCCTGTATTTTACAGAAGAAATTGCAAAATATTTGGACAGTCCGTAAGTTTTGCACAATTATTTATAAATATTGCTTTTATTCCTAGAAACGTTTTCTGTTTTTATGACTGTTTTTTTATATTATCAATAAATAATGGTAAACGAATACTATTTTAAGATAATAATGAACGCAACCTAACTAAAATGTTGTAAATATTAAAATTTTTTATTTTTTTAAATTTATATCAGGAAGAAGCAGCTGCCCATCTCGCATTTCATTTTTCTCTGTGTCCAGCTAACCCATTGAATGATATTGGGTAGTGGATTGTCATATTATCTGAATATCTGTTTTGATCTATGTTTAAATTTACTAGTATGCAAAGGCTTGTTTTTAACAAGCTATTTTTATATGCTCTGAGGTTTTTTTATTTTCTAACCTTGAATAAATATTTATTAGCTTAACTCTCCAATCAGGTTGATTTTTTTCACAACTGTTTTAATTGCAGTTTAAATTAAAATTATGACTGATGATGATGATGTGTCCTGCAAATTGTATTCCTGATGGAAGCTCTTTTTTCTCTGAGCTCACATTGCAATGTGTGCTAATTCTGAACCATATTTCTTATTGCAACTATTATTGGTTTGTCAATTTTTATCTATTCATAATCGAACCAGGAATCAATCCTATTTTTACTTTTGTCTACCCTCTAATATGATCAGTTTGTGTTTTTGAGGTGGCCATTACCACATTTCATCTAGTAGATGATGTGAGAGGCAGCTAGGGAGTCCTAGATAAGTGATAGTATAATTTTTTTATCAAATTAGAAAACAATGTGTGTTCACTTATAATTCTTTAGAAGTGTTTATTTATAAATTTTAAAACAAAACGGAGTTTATAATATTATTAGTAAAAAATAAACTTAGGCCATAAATCATAATATTATCATTTATAATGTATGATAAAGACAAGTTTTATATTAGGTTGGTACAAGTTACATTTAACTATGTGTTAAATAAGACAGAACATTGCTTAATTAAGAGTTCCTATAAAGTGATCTCACTTCAACACATTAAAGATTACTGATACTTCCAGCTAGTTTATCAAATACCAAGGCTATTTGATAAACTATTGGCTGGCTAGCTATTAAACTCATTATCCACATATATGATGATCTTTTGGTACTTGATAGAGTTGGCCATAATGGAGCTGCATCACGTTTTTTAAGCACAGTCAGCTTTCAGTATAATTGATAAATTGTTTGGGACTCAATGCGTAAGGTTACCAACAGCTACCGGTATGCTCAATTCCTTTACATAATAGGATCTGTTATTAAGATATCCGTAGTAGAACTAGAGTTCACTGACACAAACCATTGGGTTAGTAAGCTAAATATGTGCTATATATTTTGAATAACTGATAACTGTTCGAAACATAAATCTATATTTGCCACCATTTTTCAAGATTTGCAGTTTTATGATTCTTACAAAACAAGCAGCAGTCCCGACAACAATAGCTTGATAAGCATATGCACATACACATAATGGAATTCTACTATCACACTAGTTCAATATTGACCCTTCAATGACACCCGAAAGGTGTGGTTGGCATATAGGTACTAAATATGTTCTCTGCTAGTCAACTAGATGCTTTTACGCTGCCGTTAATATATATATGTATATAGTAAGTAAGAAAATCAACATGAAGAGAATAGGAACAAGCACATGCACAATGTTGTAAGAGGTTGGTATGCAGCCAAGTTACTGAAATTGCGACATTTAATCAAAATCTCCAGAATTCACTAGGAATCCCCACAGTTAAGGAGGATGGAATAGATTATTTTTAGCCATTTTCAAAAAAAGGAGGAGGTTTACAATAGCGCATTACACCCATTTTAAAAAATTGTTTTAAATGAATCCTAAAGTGATAATAAATGACTATAATTTTTTTTAAACCGAATAGCCGTAAAATGACTTTTAATCTATTGTTTTAAATTTTCGCGTGAGAACGCTAGCCGCTACGATGTTCAACTCATGACATCACACATTTTGCAAAGGAATAAGATACTGTTTAATGTTTAATAATGAGTTTACATCTAAATCATTGTTGTGTTGTGCCTGAATGCTAAAATACGAGCATAAAAACGCCGTGAAAGTTATGGATTCAAGTGCCAAGTATTTAAATATAAGAAATAGTTGGTTAAAACTGACAAGAAGATACTTGAATATATTGTCGACAAAAATCAGATTATTCTTCTGTGACGATCATTTTGATGTAAGTATGACTTATATTAACTATTGTTTAATACAAAACAAAACATCATGAGGTGAAAGGTATCACAAGTCAAATTTTGTTATAAATTACATTAACTTAGATATTATAACTAATGATTGCTGGTGATTATAATTATAGATAAACTAAACTATGATAGCTACTAAACTATGTTTTATCAAAATACACTCTGATCTGGTATTGTGTTTTTGTATAAACAAAAGTTGATAATAGGTACTTACATTGTTTTCAACATTTTTCAACTCAGGGGAACAAAAATTGGGATTGCATGCAAAAAATTTTGCCACAATCAATTTATTCATTCTTGGTAGATTAGTACTTTCTGCTTTTATGAATTTGTCTTCTGTGATGCCTTTTCAATAAAATTCGGAATAAAACTCAATAACCGTAATGATACCTTGAAAATTTTTGAAATAACAGCACGTTAGCTAGTTCTTTTGCTCAGTAGCACAGAACACTAATACCCTTAGACTGGATCAGTGATGTCACAACATGATCTAATATGGCGGACAGCATTTTGCGGATTTGAGGCACAGACAAAAAATATTCTTAAAATTGAAGTATAAAATTTATAATGCAATTTTATAAACAGAAATCAATATTTCTCAATTACTTTTTACAAAATCTCTCAAAAATATATATTTTTTGATTTATATTTTACATGGTGTAATTTGATATTCAATTTTTTTTTGTATGTGTTACGTTAATTGTGAACTGATTTACATGAGTCTTTTTTTATTAAATAGTCAAGCTTAAGGATGGTCCCATATAAATGTACAAGTGACTAAATAGCAGATGAAGTTTTTAAAGCCATGTCATATTTAGTCATTATTTAGATATTCCTTAATCAACTCATGAAGTAAAAAAAAATTAACTTTACTTTTACATTCTGAAGGGCTTTAATTCTTCTATACACTATGTCTTGGCACTGTTAGGTTGAAATTTGTTATTTACTTTGTTTAATACAAACTTTGAGAACTGTAGTTAATACTTTGCAGTTATTTGCATTGTAAAATTCCATTAATTATTTGTACATATCCTATCAACACCTATTTTTGTAAAGTTTCCCACCTGTACATTGAATGATGAACTTGTTAACCATATTATAACTACAGATTGTTTAGGTCAAAACCTGCATGTTGAATATGAAGTGGTCCAACATGCACTTGTGCAACTCATTGGATCAACTGCTCTGTTACCCTTTTCAGAAATAAGAGGAGCATAGGCATGCTCTACAACCCACCTGTAGCACCAATGTAGAGTTTGGCAACAACTTCGGACTAAAATCTAAATTTACTAACTGCAAATAATTGAATAAATTTGCTTGAATAATTTGTAGATGAAATATAGTGCAACAAAGTAAACGGACAAAAAACCCTAGCCACATACAATCAAACATTACCGTTACAGCCTATTAAAAAAGTTCACTGCTGAACATAAGCCTCCCCAATACATTGCTTCATAAGGGCAATATTTGCCATAATTGCCACGCTTGGCAAGCGGGTTGGAAACTGCAGTTTTTTATTTTTAGTCGTTATTAGGAAGATGCTGCTGCCCATGTCCCGCTTTGTTTCTCTCTGTCGCCTCTTACGCGTTCACGGGATGTTAAGGGTAGTGGATATTTTTACACTTATCACCTATATTTCTATACGGTAGCCTCATTGTTCTTAATTTGAATAAAGTCTGTAAGCACTATTTTTAACTCATTACTATTAAAAAAATGTTCTACGTTTTTAGACCAGTTTATATTATACCAGTATATTAATATGATCAAAGTAAAGTAAGTAAAGTTACAGCCTATATACGTCCCACTGCTGGGCTCAGGCCTCCCCTCATTTCTGAGAGGGTTTAGGGCAAGGAAGTGTCCGCCGCGCTGCCCAAATGCGTGTTGACGAACTTCACATGTCTTCGAAATATTTTTTTTCTTATTCCTCAGACATGCAGGTTTCCTCACGATGTTTTCCTTCACCGCCGAGCACGTGGTAAATCAGCACTTAAAATTGCAATTAACAACTTCATTGGTGCCGGCGGGGATCGAACCCGGGTTACTCGCGTTCTGTTATATTTACAGCGAGCGTTAACCACTGAGATACCACGGCTCTCTTAATATGATCAAGTAACAAAATTTACTGAAGATGTTTCAAATAAGATCTGAGATTGTCTGTTTTGTTCTGGGGCTTTTATCTTTAGAGATATGCCACCCCCATAGCTCCATCTTCCGTATATACGACTCTCATTGTTCTTAATTTGAACAAAGTCTTTAAGCACTATCTTTAACTCATTACGATTAAAAAAATTCTGCGTTATTACCAGTATATTAATATGGTCAAGTAACAAAATTTACTGAAGATGTTTCAGATAAGATCTGAGATTATCCTATATCCTATAGCTCCATCGTTCCGTATACACGACTCTCATTCTCTGAGGAATTGTAACTAAAAAGTCCTAAAAAACATCCTAGTGACGACTAGCACAGTTCTCGCCATTATAATCAGGGCCTGGTCCAGGTTTAATTTAGTTTTCTTATCAGTTATCACCGACTCTATTACATTTATATTTGATATTTAATCAACAAAAAATGTATATTCTCGTAGTTTAATGTAGTAGTAGCATTAATTTTAATGGTTTGATGAATATTTCTCTCGATGTAGTAAATACAATAGCTAAACAATTTGTCGGGAAACGAAAGCGAATATTACACTTGCACCCAGCATCGAGTCATTAGCTGCAGATGACTGTTGACGGCCTCTTTGGTCTATTCTACCCAAGTCAATTACCGCTAACCACGCCTTTATGTAATTTCAAAATAAAAAGGCCTCGCAAAGATTAAACATATTTTTCTCCGGTTACTTTATTTGATAAAATCAACATGTTGATTATTTTAGCAGTAAGCTTATTGACATACAACCAGATTATATTAGCCCATTAATACTCGCGAACAAGGGCGTTTCACATAATGTTGAAGAAATTTCATCATGTCTGTGTAATTTAACAGTAGCATATATCAGCTTATTCATTCCACTGTCGGAAGTCACAAGATCTCTTATACTACTTCTTACGACCCTGTGCCCTTTTACGACATCCATGGATTCCTGTCTACTGAAAGTTTTAGTGCTGTCTGTTATGAATTTTATTTAACAGCCAAGAATTTTACCGTCGACATTAGTTCATAGACATACTCGTAAGTAGATTAACATTAGTTGTAAGAGGTATAGAGGAATCTAAATTAAAAATCTTAGTTAAATTAATTTTGGCCGTTAATTGATTTTTAATGGTTTTCATTGTCCAAAACTCATTTTTATTGATGCTTAATAGCATCCGCTTGTTAGATTGACTGTCGGTATATGAGGCTGATGGTTTGTTTCTACAAATTGTGATTTCTAGCCGAGTTCCATGTAATGAACCATAGAACGCAACTTCTCCAACTGTAGAAAGCTGTGGCTATGTTGTTTTGTTATAACTATCATTCACTGTGTTGTAAGCTATACTGTAACTTCTGTACTGGAAGTGATACCAACGGCATCAGCGTCTTGTGGTGAATGCGTATTTCACCTTTGACTTTTCTGAATTCGAAACCACGGGCTCGCAGCTTTGTAACCAAATGTTTAGCTACTGTGCTAGTGAGCCGTCATTTCAGCATTTCGTTTCGTTAGGTCGGCCTATAACAAATGCGTTTTTTACCCTTTTGTGTTTTTGTTATCTAATATAAAATTAAAAATTCATTGGCGATATAAACAAGATACATTATACATTTTGATATTTTAATACTCGGATCGGAAATCGGATTATTTTATGCAGTATTAGGAAGGCCAAAAGATGCTGGGTTTGCGCTGGAATAGGGCGCGGGAGGTAGCAGCCCCGGGCGGGCGGCGCATCCGCCCTGCGTCAGTGCCGTCAGTCGCCCGCCGCCGTGCGCCCGGCCGGCTGCGACACGCACGCACTCACCAAAACATTTATCATGTTTATCGAGTACCTCTCTCATCAATGCATTATTAAGAATATATTGATTGCTAGTATAAATTAAATAGTTTAATGTTAGTTGGTGTTCGTTCAATTCAAAAGTCTTTCATTCTGTTCAAGGATTGAACATTTTTAACTTTGCATTATTTTAATAATTATGTTTAAAAGTTGTTGTGCTCGACCGACTAAGAAATTGGGCAAGAGCAAATCCAAACCAGAAGACATGGCTTCTTTGTCTGAATCGAATGTGCAAAATAAGCAAAATGTGAATGAAAATAGTGAAAATGACAACAATAAAAAGAGCGATAGCGCAACGAATACAGAAAATGACGACAATAAAAAGAGCGATAACTCAACGAACACAGAACCCGAGTCAAAGGAACATGCTGACGATAAAGAGATTATAATTAAGGTTCCTTCGTATACCATCGCTAATGCTGAGGGAAATAATGTTCTTGAGGGATCGGCTAATTGTGATACAGAAGTCGATGATATGGTACTGAAAAGTAATATAATGAAAAAACGATATTCCGTTGATTATAAAACGTCTCGAATGGATTTTAAACGTTTTTCAATAGACTGTAGTCGCAATGTTGCTACACTGGAAGAACTGGTTAATCTTGAAAAGGAATTAGCTCGAACAAACGTTGACGTACGTCCAACAGGTAGACGGAAATCTACCGGCATCTTGAAATTTACCGCGACCAGTAACAACGACATAGCTGAACAACGTCCGACGAATGTGCAGGAGTTATGTTCAGACGACGATGAGGTGTTTGAAAAAAGTGTAGAAAAACTTGGTGAGAATGAAGGGCCGCGAGAGCCCCCGGCTACGCCTGTGGGTCGTGACGAACTGGCTTTAAGGAGGCACAGGTTCTTTTCAGACCTTGTTTGCGCTGCTCGAGCAGCCGTAGAGCATCGCGTTCGATTTGATCCTCTTGGGCCTGTTGTTGCAGATCCCGGTGAGTTTTAATGGAAGGTTTTTATAAGTACAAGCTAGTCCGGCAGATGTTGTTCTGCAATTTCCGGTAGGTGGCGTATTAAAATTGACTTCTTAATTACATAATCTATTTACACAAATTTTGACATTATGAAGTTTGATTTTAAACTCAAGATTTTCTCTGGATAACGACCAAATAGGATATGGCACACGAACTCTGTGGTTTCCAGTAAGTGGCTCGATCAATTTCCTACGAATATCTTACCGTGTAAAGCTATAAAAAAAGAGAATAATATTAAACTCGACCATACCGTCAACTATCGGGTCCAGGTTTGATTATTTTTGGCATTAAACTAACATGAATTGTGAATATGGGTTATTTTGGTCCATGAATTTCATGTTACCTTGACTACAGCGTTACCTATCGAATCTTGGAGCATCAGAAGTTACACGGTCACTAACTGACGCACCTATTATTATATAATAACGGTTTATTTTTATTATTTATTTGAAAAATAAAACCTTTTTAGGTCGTTAATTTAAATTCATTTATTTTTCTATGTATAAAAAAACAAAAGTAATGTAATTCCATTTATTTTACAAATTTCATGAAGCAAAATCGACTCTGTTTAATATTTACAGGAAAATTAATGTTTCATAGTTTAATGAATCATATATGCATGTAACATTATACGTAAATATCCAGTATCATTCGGAATTAGGTACTTTCTATAATATTTACCTAAATTAATATATTTTTATTATCTTAGAGGAAAGATACGTGCTCAGAGTTCACCTAATGGTAAGTAACAGCTGGAGTTCATCGACAGCTACTACTAAGTTCAAACAAAAAAGGTTGCTCCTGAAGATTATTATGATTTATATACCAGCCTGTAATCATACAATTTCTCTTATCCAACCAGAACAATTTGTTCCAAATGGGTCCTTGTTTGTGTTTTAAAAGGCACGTGAGTTCTTTGAACACGATCAATTTAGTTTTTACGTGTAGAGCCACGCTGCATCTGTATTATTGTTGTAGCACGATTGGGTCGCTTCGACTATGGAAGGACCACGCTCTCATAGAATGCAAGCGTAAAATAGCACCTTAATGCTGCTGTGTTTTGTAGGATGAGTGTAGAGAACCGGAGATACCTAGTACTGGATACGAGGCATTCCATCTTAGTCCTCAGGGGTGACGCACCTGCATTTTGATTCTTAATAGAGGATAAATGTAGATATCTATAGCCCACAGCATCCATTTCCTATCAGATGGACTGTGTGCTCGTTTGTAAAACTTACCCTATATAAAAAAGTTTCTACATACTAGTTCTAAATACCTAGTCTGTATTGGTTTATGACTTTATTTTTTGTCTTTTAAAAATTAACGGACATTAGTCACAGTTACAGTTAGCATTATATATAATTGGTGAATATGTAAATATTAAAATGAAGAATTTCATCATATTCCATTTCAAAACAAACAATAGGCGAACGAGAAACAATCAATGTGGTTGACTGATTCACAACGAAGCGCTGCGTTCTCGTTTCTTTGCTATCTAACCTCTTATTTAATGCAAAATGTAATTACACTTAGAATGAATTGCTCCATATCAAGCTATTTCTATTATGATTATTAAAACTAAATTTACAACGTAATTTCTATTTCTAAGTGCTGATATACAGGGTATCCCAGTAATGGTGGATAATTTGGTACGTGCGTGTTCGGGCGGGGGAAGGAGGGAGGTGGCCTCGGTTCCCTAAAAAAAAACACCCATAGTAGTTGAAAACTTTTAAGGGTAATTTAGAAGCATCATTATTAGGGAACACATTAAAAGAAAAAAATCCGATCATTAGCATTAATGGGCATTAAACTGAGCACGTGATGTCCACAAATGTGAGCTGAAGTACGAATTTTCGGAATTTTATAAAAATGGTGTAGAGTGCGAACCATACGTGATAGAACTTTTTTTTTAGGGAACCGAGGCCATATCCCCCCCCCCCTCCCCCCGCCCGAACACGCACGTACCAGATTATCCACTATTACTGGGATATCCTGTATATATATAATTCACGCAGTGAAACTTAAAATGTTTTTATTCCTTAATATTTACAAGTATTATATCTCCTCATTATATTTATTAGGTTGCATAAAGAAGATCTTTTATTGAGGACATAAAATATATTTGGAATATCGTTATCCTTCCATGTTTTCTTCGAAGTGCTACCCAGTCTATTAGGAGGGTCACCAAGTGTATTGAATTATTCGAAGACTAATGCAGTTCTGTGATGATTAAATTATTTTAATAAATAAATCTTAATTGATATAGCACATTTAAGTAATTTTTGTTTAGTTTGTTTAAGTAGAAGCGGAAAGATTAAATGGCTCGTAGCTCGTACTTCATTAAAGTTTGTAATGGCTTCTAGTTTGTATAATTTCTAAACATTATACAATGTTAACGTGTGTTGCCAATGCCGCTACATTTTATGTGCTCCGCGCCGACGGCGCCGTCACGTTTCCATGCGTTTTTATTACTGCCAACATCCTAATCCAGTCGACATACATACGTAGCCCAACTGATATTACCCTGTTATTTATTGGGTTGAAAGCTTTTTTATGGAAGTTACTCAGACTATGATCCTTTGGGACTTAAACGTACAAAAAGGGCATATCAAAGTAAGATGTCATTTGCCTTTTTTGACAAATTATTAAAAAAAAATTAGATTGGTAAAACCTATATAAATTTGGTATATCAGTTCTAAGTCAACATTGACATAGTTTTTTATAGACATTACTTGTCGCACTATTTTGTATAGAGTCTAAACAAGTTGCTTAAAATAAGAATAATTAGTCAGATGCAGTAACGAGTTCAACATTCATGAGTTCGAACCAATATTTTATAAGCTTCAACTGTTGACGAAATTTGTTTCTGGTTTAGTACAAGACTTACTCATTGTGCCGTATTCTTTAATCATCATAGACGGACTTTTGATTATTCCGAGCGCTATTATTTATTACAACATACAACCGCTGAAGCTTACATGGGTTTCTATAGTTCAAAACTCGAATAAAAGTAAAGTTACAGCCTTAATACATCCCACAGTCAGTCTGAGCACAGGCCACCTCTCATCTCTGAGCGGGTTTTAGGGCAAGTAAGTGTCCGCCAACCATCGCTAGTCTTCATCCCTTTGTTGTCAATATTCTACTCATTAGAACTAAGAAAGCATACAGCAAATAAGTGGAATAATCTTCCGGTGCGGCGTCTGCCTCCCCTCCCCCTATACAATCTGGCGTCTTCAAGGCAAGAGTGATAACTTTCATTCGACGATTGAAAATTCAGCTCTTAGTAAATAAAATTTTGTAGAACGCTCCAGAACAGGGATTACCAATTAGTTTAATAGCGGGTCCGTTTAAAAAATATAAATCTATCGCGGTCCGTTTGCTAGATGATGACTAGCAATAGCAACCGATGTTTAAAATGTCAATTAACAAATAAAACTAAAAGAAATCAGAAGATTTTAATAAGGATACATCTAGTTAAAAATATTATAGTAAGTACCCAATATACAGGCGAAACTGGCATTTTATTTCAATATAATTAATATAATTCGTAATCTGAACGATCTGTAAAATTTTGAAATGAATTTGGTGCAAGTTATTGCCATTAAACCTTGTAGATGGACATCGGTAAAACGGGATCGAAATTTATTTATAATGAAGTTCATCTTGGAAAACGTTGCTTTACAAATACGAGTATATGTTGTTCCAAATATTGTACAAAATTTAGAAGCCAATTTTTTTAGTTCTAGGTATTTATTACCACATATTAATTTTATCCAAAACTCTTGGCAAAGAACTTCCAAATTGTTGTGTTTTAAAACAGCACAAAATTTAATTAGCACACATTTTTACATTTATATTTTTAGATACTTCTGGGTCCGCTCAAAATTGGTCGACTGTCCGGATGCAGACCGCGGTCCGCCATTTGATGTGATCCCTGATCTAGAAAATCCATTCCGGATGTTGAAAATCATATTCCTGTGGTATAAGGGGACTAAAGTTAATCTTGGTAGTTTTCTGTTGCAAACTTTGAATTGATTTATTATACTATACATAAAATACCTGTATAATACAAAAATATAGATGTTAATGTTTTCAATACATTTATAAAATTGTCCTTAGTATAGGGGATACTATTATTTAAATACATATATACAGTGTAACCTGAATAACTCGAATTGTACGGGTAACGCTAAAATTTTCGAATAAATGGGTTCTCAGCTTGGCGAGTGTTTCGGGATATAAAATGTTACTATAATTTGGGTAAATATCGCTTCATTTCTTATCTTAACTCCGACCGTGTTCAAAGAAGTTGAGTTCAAAGGCACATTTTCTAAGTATATTTTTATGTTGTTATATCATAATGAAATAAAATTTAACTAAAGTATGTAATATTAATTTAAGTATATTATAACATGTATTTTGTAAAAAATGGTCAGTTTCCTCTTTTGAGTTGACGATTTTTTTATAGTTAGTAGTTTCAATCAAATAATAAATTAAATGTTACAAGTTATTTGACCATGGATATCACTTGCTTCGTTACTTTACGTTTTGTTAGTAAAATACGTGAAAACGTAAATAAAAACAATTTTTTTTTAAAACCACAGTACAAAATACTAAAAAACCCATAAACTCACCCCGGCTTCGCTTGGGTATGATTTAGTAATGTGGCGTTATTTACATTTAAAAGAATCATACATATAACAACCATTTCCACCATATACTTCAATTTTATTTATATGTGTAGATAACCGATCAACTACGCGTTGAACAGTTGCGTTGCCCAGCCGGGTTGGATCCGTTCAGTCTGTCGGTTCTGTCGATTAATCTCTTGATCGAAGCCCGGCTTACATAGTCGGACCATTTATCTTGGGATTTATTTATATAGAAAAAGTGTGACAAACGAGCACACAGTCTACCTGATGGTAAGTGGATGCTGTGGCCCATAGACATATACATAAATCCTCGTTTAAGA